TGGTTGGCATCTGCCGGACCTCGGCACGTATATAGTCTCGACCTCTTCAACGCTTCCTCTACCCTACACCGAGGGTTATACTGCCTATAACGTACGCGCTGAATGCGCAAGAGCGCATAGAACCTCATGTACACAATTTTTTTAAAGTGGGGGGGGGGGTCGAGGCACTAAATGTGGCCCAGTAGAAGCCTTACTGGGATCAAAAATCACGCTGAGAGAACTGTAGCTTTTCAGACTGTCTCCTACTGTCAATGGGGAGTCCCAAAGCTCAGTAGCTCCTCCTGGTACATTATTCACAGGATAAATTACAACTACTAGGTTATAGTACTGCGAGCACAACGGGGAGTCAACAGCACGAAGTTCCTTGCCGTATATTCGGCAAGGTCCACGCACGTGGTTTACCACTGCTGCGGCGCCCCAGCTACTCGTTTGGGTAGGGTTCACTTCCAAAAGCGGGCTAAGGGGGGACTTCCCTATGCTGTATCGGAAATATGCACTAGCCTAGGATAATATATCGGGTCTGGAAAAGAAAGGCCAACTAAGTATAGCAGGGATGCGTGACGTCACAGCCACTTTCCTGCTGCCGCGAACTTTGACGAGATGTCTTTCCTGTCGCGTATTTGGCGTACACTCAGCGGACGCGTACGTTTGTTAACGCTTTACCATGTTTGATTTTTCATCGCAACTTAGTTTTCCAGGCCTATCTCGTGGGCCGAGACCTCGAAGGTGGGTACGCGTTCTCGAGTATCGAGTGCCGTTCTGACTTAAGAGTCCAAAGGCAACCGATATTACGAGTATCCTAGTACTTCTGAAGGTTCGTTCATGTCAGATACCCGTTCAATGCCCGCATATACCCAACTTATCGAAGTAGATGCGCGCAGAACGAAGCGGGTCGTGAAGTATGTCGGGCTTCGGATGGAGCAGCCCGCAGAGGCAGCCATGAGAGCAAGGACCCTTCCGGGTAAGGCTTTCACCCTATACCCGTGCCTGAGGCTTCATTGATATAATGGCAAGTGCAATGGACAACGTGGTTATCCCATACACGGCCGAACCCTCCAACAATCGAGGTCAGAATCTGCCGTCTCAAAATCTCATTGAAGAGGGCTGAATGCAGTACTACAGGAACTCGAAGCGGACGTCGCTAGACAGAGGCGTGTCCTCGCGAGGGTAGCATTTATTGAGGAACGAGAACGAGAACGCAGGGCTCGTATGGCCTTGCAGGCGCCTGCTGAACCTGGCCAGGAAAATCCGAATATGACATTCGAGCGTGCTCAGCCTCTTCAACAGATCAATTCAGCGCCTGGCAGCCATGCAGAAAAAACACCAGAGCCCAAACCTGAACCGACGGGAAGGCCAGTCGAGCCTGAGCCAATACCAGTCTATTCGGACGAACCCCAAGCTTGGATCCCACAGGCTCCTCGCAGACGGGGCGAGTAACTGAGGCTAACTACTTCGGCTTCGTCTAGACTCCTCGCAATGTACTGCGTGCGGGATGTAGCTACTGACCGCTACGTCTTCCCGAGTCCACGTCACCCATGTAGCACCTCCTGGCTAACAACGAATGTCATAACCCCCGCTTTCTTTTCCTAGCACTTTATACATGCAACTGCCATTTGGTTTCTCCTTGCTATCACACTTTGCGAGTTGTTTGGCACTCCGCGACTAACTCAGGATATGCCCGCCGCCGCGGCAGCGCGTGATCTTGTTGCAGCTTTCCCCTGTCAGAGTTGCATTATCTAGGAATCACAGGTAGCCGTCTTCCTGTGACGATGCTTGAAGGAGCTGAATTTACGTTCGTTATCGTTCTCTCGCAGTACCTCAACATGCACGTACAACCCAAAGAGGCAATTCCCGACCGACACCCGCAAACTCTGAATGCAGTCTGTTATTTTGCGAGTTGCGTTTCAGCGTCTAGATCCCCCTTCGCGCTGAACTGCGTTACTGCAAGCCATCGCCTTTCCCGCGTGCATCTTCGGATGTCCTCCTTTCCGCGTCGCACACCAAGAGAAAGCCACAGTTAATTAAAGGAGGTCACCTGAGCGGCATCGGGTAGATCGACAGTTCCCCCGTTGCAATTGGCGATCAGGAATACGAGCGCGGTGGCAGTGTAATTGGCAAAGAAGGGCGCGGTTCCCACGGATAGCACGGATAAGAAGACCGCCTCGAGGCACATCAAATGGGATCATAAATCAGAAAAGCATGTTAATGCTGTACCCCTCGACCGCGCTCTTGCCTTATGTCCTACCTTCTGCGCTGACGAACCCTACGACCGCATACCAACGTCTTAATGCCTTCAACGACTCAGGCTGCTGTTCTTAATGCTGTCAACTTCATTCGCAAACTATTCCCGCGTTCTCTCAGACGTTTCTTGTTCGCACTGCTATCGAAATGGATCGGGTACGTCAAAGCATGGCGTACGGGAAGGAAGGGACCTTCGGATAGGACAGGAGACCGGGGGAGGAAAGCGAGTACATATCCCGGACCTCCCATCAAGTCACACAACGATGAAAGAGCGGTCGTCGTATGTGGAAGTCGCATACCTCCGAATATCTCAATAACGACTCCGACACCCCGAGCCACTATGGACTCGAGGGCACCCGGAAGTCCGGGTTCTCCTATTTCACGTTCGTTTCCAGACCTCCACCGCACCGTCCTGGAAGGTGGCCCGCCTCCGATCAGTATAACATTGCCGACGCCGAAAGCGACCATGGAGGTATCTCCGCGGTCGCCAGCAAGTCCGATACCTCGCAGCTCGCATTCATCGCCTGACATTCATCGGGAACTGTTAGAGCGCTTGAGTGCCGAGGATACGACACGTTACCGGTGGAGCAACCCTCTGGACTCGGGACATTGGCGATCGACTACTCCTGAATCCATTCAACTCACGGAATCTGTACAGCATGCCTTTTCTGTTGCGCCGCCCATGGGTTCCCGATCTTCTTCTCACATGAGTTCGCTCTATGTCTCCCAAGCGACCTCCAGAGCACCCTCGCGAGGGAGTTCGCGGGCAGGTTCACCGTCGGGGTCCGGCCGTCGCTCGATGTTTGGTCGGGACAACCACTCCCAGTCTGGGCTTCCATCTCGCCCTGTATCTGTTGTTGGCTCCCAGGCTCATTCAGCGTACCGCACGGCCCCACCGAAACCTCACGCCGCTGCCATTAAACGGACACCAGCCGGCTCGAGAGAACAGCTTCATGATTCATCCACCCCAACTAACGCATCTGGGAGGAACCTTCCAGACGGGTCGGTGATTGTACCACCACGCAGCCATATATCTCTCGAACAAGCACAACCAAAGCCCATCAGCCCGACCAATGTTGCGAGATATGCCCGGAACGTAGAGATGTATGTTGTATGTACTGTGTGTATATACGTGAAACGTCTCACATCCCTTATCATAATAGTAAGAAGCGTTCCGAAGACTTTACCTTTCACATCCAGGTGCAACACCGACATACCGACCCGTGAGTGCTGTGGGCTGCGTCATGAGCTCTCCTGACCTTCGCTCAGTAAGGATTTATATAACGTCCCGGAAGGATGGACAGCTTGTGAGCATCCGGAAGGTGCCCTGTATTTCTTCCACGAGACAAAGGTGAAAGCACCTCACAGTCTATAAGTAGACGTCAGACTGACGATGAGAAGAAAATCCTGACGGACGCAGACATATGCGATAAAGAAGTGTTTCAGACCATCTCTCATTTCGTACAGGCCATCGAGTATATGATCGAGTCCAGTGGCTTACAGAGGGATCCCGCCGACGAACTGGCTTTGGAGTTACTCGAAGATGAAGACGGCAATCAGACGTGCGGGTACTACTTCGCGGATACTACGCGAAAGACCTTATTCTGGCTAGAAGAAATAAAAGCTACTGAATCCATGCTGGTGGAGATTGAGGGCCCTACATGGCAGTCTCATATCAGTATGGGTTGTCTCTCCTCACAATCGAATAACGTCTTGTTAATGGTATGTCTCGCTCAGGACACGAACTCGAGTCGCGCTACTGGTACCAAATTTCTACGATCCGATTGTCAGTGAACAGCCTGCTACCTAACGTGCCTCGAGCTGACAGACCAGGTAGATCCTCCTTTATGGTGACATGATTCTGCAGGTCGCACTGTGAAATGTTCCCCTGCCATCGCACGGTCCCAGATGACACCCTACAAGAACTTCTTGGCACGCTAATTCACGGATCCATAGGTCAGTCTGTCCTTTCGGCGCGCTGTAGACGATTGTTGTAACATTCGCGAAGACTCTCTCACGTCCAGCTATTCCACATTCCCCTGGAGCCATACTGACGGCAGTGAAATGCTCAAGATAATCAAGGGTCTTAAAGGTCTGCTCCTTTGCCGTCTAGTCATTCTTCGAATTCACATAGGGCAACAGGCTTGGGCCCTTGCGGCGGCCGTCCGGCTTGCGTCGTTAGTGAGTTGTCTTCATCGCCGATGTTTGCCGATACTGACACTGCCGCAGGTCGGATAATGACCGTCCTAGGTATCTTCGGCGCAGAACTTCCCAGGGGTTTGGCTGACCCTTACGCTTGACCAGTCCACCAAAAATACATAAACTACCACGGACAGAAAGGCGCGCGTTTGGCGGCAAACCAGCCTATCTACGGGAAACCCGAATTTCCTAGGTCGTGGCGATTCCGGCTGCTATCGCCACTCCTGTTCTATGCCCCCCGAATGCACCTGGAGCAGCTGGAGAAGATCTGGGTGGACCAGGTCATCCACTATGTGCTCTGGCAGAAGGCGATAGACAAGCTCCAGGAGGAATGGGAGAACCTGTCGCTGACGGTGGGTGGCTAGTCAGCCCTTCATTCTCCAGATGCCTAAATTTAATCGTATTATTTCATAGACAACCGTCATGCTTACCGTCGATGTATCGTTCTTGGCTATCCAGAGTGTCGACGTTGGCTCCGCTACACCCAACCAGAGGTGTGCGGCCCAAATAGCCATATACTTCTCAACCGTCGCGAGCGTAGGCAGCATCATTCTTGGCCTGCTGCTCAATCGACATCATCGGGTCATATCTCGAGACGATGCTGAGGTCGCGGTATGTCATGCTATCTCTTGGGCGTCTCCCTCATCCTGACTCGTGGGTGCGTAGCAACAATATCTATGGAGCAAGTGTCACGAGTCCCGGGGCTTGGAGACACTCGCCATTATGTATAGTCTTCCGTATGCTTTGCTCATGTGGGCGTGCGTTGCTTTCACACAACTCTCTTGTGCGATTTAGCTTGAACCCTTGTTTCCAGGATGGTGACGTTTCTAGTATCGTTGTCCGGGCTCTGCTTCTCCGTAAACCCAGACGTCAGCGCAACAAGCACCGCGACACGCGTCCCCATCGGTGTGGCCTGGATATTCGTCTTGACACTGATTGCGTGGTTTCTGTATACCGACTGGGAAGGCGGCAACCACCCTGCGCTTGCACGGCTGCTGGAGCGGGTAGGGGAGTTCAGACATAAATTGTTTAGCCACGTTTCTAAAAGGCGAGATCAGTCGCCAGTGAACTTGACAAAGTTACGCCAGTTGTGTAGCCTCCAAAAGACACCCCTCACCAGTGGTACAGATGTAGGCAATGCTAGCGGATCTCAGACAGTGTAGTGTCCACTGTATCTATAGCCGTACAGAGGGGGAAGCGATGCCCATTGGGAGGCTCCTGAACGTTGCATTTCTTAGCAAGAGCAGAGCATGTAATATAGCCCTTCACGTTGATCAAGGTGCATTATATGGCATGCCTAAGCTATCATAGGTGAACACGAAGGGATGCACATCTAATTTATCAACCCATCCATTCGAATGCAAGAGTCCTCGTGGAAATCCACCAGGTAAGTCACGTCCGAAAAGACAGGCGACAACGATCGCGGATACGACGCCCTCCATCGAGGCACGAAGGTCTCCAGTGAGACATGAACAGTAGTGGCTCAGCGAGACCACACAAACAACACCTCCGCGAGGCGTGAAACGGTAACAGCTGCCTCCGCGAGACACTGAGGGTATGAACGGATGGTCTCAGCGAGACACGAACAGTACGGGGTGGCCTCTGCAAGACACGGACCCTGACGAGTAGTGGGCGGTCACGACGACACGAACCCAACGATGAACGAGCGGCCTCTGGAAGACACGGACCCAACAGTAGCGGATTGCCTCAACGAGATACCGACGAGTTCGGATGGGTCTCGAGGAGGCACCGACGACGGTAACACAATGCTCTCCGAAGAGGCACGGCCCAACATCCCCGAAGGGACGGAAATATTCCAAAAATTTCCAGAACAGCCAAAGAGTAGTCTGAATCGAGTTACACGTCCGAGGACGTGCACCAACAATTGAACTCAAGGGCGCCCTTTCCATCCTCTCCATCCTGTCCTCCCCTCGTGCCGAAACCCCCCGAAAGTGCACCCGAACGGGCGGGTATGCCGCCTCGTTCAATAGTTCTGGTTATACAACAATCGTGATCGTTGATGACCGTGTAGATCGTCATGGTAGATCGGATCCTTTCGCCAGCGCCGGGGGGCCCCGGGCAGCTGGGTCGCTCAGGCCAGACCGCGGCGCATAGATGTGTGAAGTAAGAGCTCCGGAGCGAGCTTGTCTGCCAGTACGGATACGTGGCGTGTAATCGCGGCCGAATGTGTGGCGCATGCGTTATGCAGCAGCGTAGTGCTGTGTGCCTTGCGGCATGTACAGGTATGGTCGTGCAGTGGTCTGGCCTGGGGTGAGCTGGGCTCGTTCGACGTCGTGTAGACATGTCACGGTGGTACAGTGAGTACTCTTTGTACGCTTGGAGCGTCGCGCAAGTGGGCGCGGTAGTGCATCTTCCGAGGGGCTGACTGGGTCTTCAGCAGTCTAGTGTAGAGGAGTCGGGTAATGACGGGTCGTAGACAAGTCACCGCGGTAAGTAGGGCATCGAGAGAGACACCCTCCCTCCTGGAACACAGCCGAGATAAAGCTCCTTCATCTCGCCGTCCAGAAGAGCGCAAGGATCCGGAGACACTGGTCCATCTTGCGTTCCATAGAGGGCACCGCAAGCGGCCGATTGGGAGAGACGAGACAAAGAAGCGATGGACGGAGCACCCGATCCCCATGACGGTTTCAAATCGTAGACATCCTGTACCTTCGCTGCCGCAGCAGGTCTTCAGGCGAAAGAAAGTCCAAGACGATTTTCTGGTCCGTCGTTCAGCTGGTTACAGCCGGGTCCGGCTGGAACCGATCTAGGGGGATTAGCATACTCAGACCTTCCCGCTCGCGAATGCCCTCGACGCCGAAGCGAGAGGCGTACGGGGCGAGCCTGTCGGTTTTTGAGCTGCTCTGATGATGGTTGAAAAGAAGGAGGTGACAAAAGAAAAACCTCGTTATTATATGTCATCGGGTCCGATCGAATTCGGCATCGACTCGACGCCACGGCCCGAACAATTGCCTCTTTCGGCGGCGTTGTGTACGTGTGTAGGCGTTTACATTCTCTGGCAGATATCGCTGCTTGTTCTCAATCCAGTCTAAGGACAATATTAATATGGCAAAGAAGAATACCGGTACCGAGAAGAAAGGGAACGAAAAGAAATCGGGCGCGAACAAGGATGATTCATCGGACAAACAGTCGAAGGTCCGCACCTCCTGCAGCCTTGCACTGGCATGCAACCTAGCGTGTTCTGTGCCGAACTATCCCGCATACAGGGTAAGGGTGGTCTCAAACCCGCTACTGCGGTGAATGTAAGACATATTCTCTGCGAGAAGCACTCGAAAGCCACAGAGGCCTTGCAGAAGCTGCAGGTCAGTAGCTGCCTTCGTTTATGGTCGGTTGATTCTCCAATCATAGGGACTCTGCGACTAGGAAGGGCAAAGATTTGATAAGGTTGCGCAGGAGTATTCAGAGGACAAAGCTAAAGGTAGCCCTTATCACGGTCATGCTTCGGGTCGCCGAGTCTAACAACTTGCAGCTGGTGGCAGCCTGGGCTGGATGACGCGCGGGTCAATGGTGGTACGTGCCTACTACCTGGATGAGACCGAGTTCTCGTTGACATGCTCCCAAAGGGCCCCTTCCAAGATGCAGCATTTGCCCTCGAACCGTCCACCGTCGATAAACCCAAATTGTCACCTTTGGTTAAGACGAACTTTGGGTACCACATTATCATGGTTGAGGGCCGCCGATAACGTGCCCAGGTGTATACCTCAGGAATAAGCAAATCAGGGCTAATGTAAGGGTCTGCTTGCTTGGTCGATGCCACGAGATATGTCTATTGCCAGCCTGCTATGATGCTCGCGGAGCCTGGAGTGCAGCAGCAGCGGCAGCTTTTCTCTGCTTCTTCCAAGCCATGAATTCCCTGAGCACAGCAACAACCAAGGGCACCGTAGCGGACGCGAATAACGGTGTATAGACAGCCAGTCGGTGCTCCGGCGGGAAATACAGCAACGCCAGCATGCCAGGATTGAAGAATGCGCGCGACGCGAGTGTTAACGCGTCATTCGAATGGTCGAACGCCAGTTTTGGAGAAAGCGTTGCTGCATCAAACGCCTGGAGAATCAACTTTAGTTAGATTCCATCATAGCATGGACCGACGGGGACCAGAACTTCACCTGATCCAGCGCTCGCAGCGCACCTTCTACGTCTTGTTTCACGTCCTTGCCTACGGGCATATTCTCGATTTGCTCCACTAGCTTGACGATGCTTTCAAGCGTCTGCTGGGCCTCCCGCACATTCTCGACCGTGCGCCGGCGAAGCAGGGCGTCAATCTGCCAAGAGGATACCGAACAACCAGGTGAAGGTGCCTTGATACCTTTCGGGAGACGAGGCACCCCCAAGAGTGACGAGAGCTGATTCCGGAAGATGGGGACGATTTTGTTGAGTTGGCGAGCGGTCAAGTCGAAGTGATCTTGCATGTCAGCTGGAGGGTTGTAGATCGTGACGCCTCCCCACTGGGGCAGGATGAACGAGTGAGAGGTCGTTAGGACCCCTGCGGAGTGATTTTTCAGCGCCGGCCAGCCGGAATATCAAACGACCTAGCATACCTGCGCTGTCCAGGATATGCAAGGGTCTTCTGGAAGGAGAAGGGACGAATAGTAAAAGATGTAGCACGGGGTCATTCGTCACGCCAGATGCTAAAAAAATGTAAACGGGGAGGGAGCCTCCGTATCACCCACTGATACTCACATAACGTCCATTCGGCAGAATTGACGAAGACCGTCAGGTCTTCTGGCGTAAGGCCGTATACCTCACTGCCGTTTGCTGACACTACCGATGGCGAGAACGCGAGCGGAGCGTGGTACTGTACTTGCGACTCGATGGTGAAGTTGTGGAGAGATTCGAGACGTTTCAAGAGCGGGCGTATGTGCACTAAAGCAGGGTGTGGGACAGGCGAGCGAGGTACGGCTGCTTAACTTACAAGAGAGGGCCTTGCGGATTTCCCAGCTTAGCGCGGATTTCCCAGAGGCGGCGTCTTCGTTCAAGAGGGTGAATGCGATGCGATACCGGGAAGCGTATTTGGATACGACGTGTTCGCGCTCGTGTGTGTCGGCATATGGCGAAAGGAGGGCAGTTAACTTATCTGCCAGCGCCTTCGTGGCAGCTGGCGATATACGATAAGCACAGAGATGTGGCTGTCGAAATGTTCTTACTCGAGTCACTCGTATCCCAGTGATGGAGGAGTATTCCATCCTCACTCAGTTCGTCGCCAGGTTCCCCGGTTAACTTCACGGAATAAGAACCCGAGTCCGGACTAACAGGCACATCTTCTTTTCATCACTAGAATGGGAGGACCCTAAAATGTCTGAACATACCTTTGGAAGCGCGGACAGACACTGGACCTGACAATCGAGTCTGCAATAACTGCTCCAGCTTACTGCTGAGTGCATTCAAGTCGGTGTCATCGGCGTTTGAACTGAGATAAATATTCAAGGGGAACGATATCTATTCCAGTCTCAGTAACCGCGACTTCCCACAAATTTCTTGTATAACCTCTCTTTTCGCCTGTGCCAACACCTGGCTCGTAGGCAGAGAAAGCCGTTCGATGCTGGTCGTCTGCCACCACCCCGGCATGGCTAGCAAGACCACAACCCAGTACGCAGCTAATATGCATCGTCGGAGGAAAGACGACTCGAAGGAAAGTTCAGATGGGTCACGAAATCGTTTGCGAGGCTCCGAGTCTTCCATAGTCCATTCGAGTTACCGTTGACCGAGACGAGGAGAGCTAGGCGGCGTGGGAAAGAGCATTCCCCTGGGAGGGAGTTCGTGCCACAACTTCCCTTTTCGTTCAGTACCTCCTTCTCCACAACCTCTGTCACTCTTTCCGACTTCTGCTACGCTCTTGGGAATACCTTGACGGCGTAGCAAGCTACAGCACTTGCTTATCTTCTGAAGCCTCCCTACAATTGGAATCTTCTTGTCGCCAATTACTCTGCTTATATTGTGGCTTAATCGACCTTTCGAAGATCAAAAACTCCATATTCTCGGACCTAGCTTGATTCCTGCGTAATGAGTACTAACAATGGATGGAGATCCGTCTCCGGAACCTCTTATTTAGACGACGATGTAAGGGAATGTTGAACTCAACTCAAACTCACTCTCAAATCATTATCTGTAGAGGGCTTCGGCGTACCCCGAGCGCCAATTCACACAGGGTCAAAGTGGCCAACGGCGCAGTTCTAACTCATACTATCCGGGTGATGCTGGTGACTACCGTGCAGCCCCAATATACGGAGATGCCTATCGTCCTCCTGTGCACGGTGACCAATGGAGACCTGAAAGAACTCCCCCGCCCCCTGGGCCAGATCGATATGTCCCTGACCAGTGGCGGCCAGCTGAGCCTTGGACTGCCTACCAAGACTCGGGCTGGCCGGCACGTCGAAGATCATCGGACACAATGGCTCAGACTATGGCTTCTCGGATGTTTGAACCTTCGGAATCTTGGAAGCAACACCATATAGATCGGCCACCCCGTTCTCAGTTGTAGGGCATTCTATACAACAAAATAGGTTGCGTCGCTAATCATCTTCACAGCCCGGAATCCAGCAGAGGATACACCGACAGGCGACCAGACCCATATGCAAGGGAGTTCTATGGATCTCCAAGTCGCGAGCCTGCTGGATATGATTATCCAGACCCGTTGCCGCCACCGCCCCCCTCTGATGATAGATATCGTGGCCATCCCGGCCCTCGTGATCCATATGGCTCACCACCTCGTCGCTATGATTCGTACAGACCGGGTCAAGACGATAGCTCGACTGGGGCTGGAGGTTCTCGTCCTGCAGAACCTCGCGCGTATCCTTCAATGGACAGTCCAGTGGGGGGCTTTCGCAGGGATTCTCGTCTGTCGACCTATAACCGTCGACCCTCTCCGCAGTATGGGGACTACGTCGAACGTCGCAGCCCAGTCCGCGAAAGGTCAGTAAGCGGACCCTCACGAGCTCCGCCACCTTCTCCGTCGGGTATCCTCCGGAAACCTAGACTGCGCACCTCGGATGGTGGTATGCGCCCACCCCCCGTCATGGAGTCACATGCACATACCCCCCCTCCTCGTAGAGCCTCAAGAGGATCCATGGATTCGACAGCTTCTTCGGGCAGAAAAAGAATGAGGTCGAGATCGTCGTCCATCTCGTCAGAAGCTCGGAGAGCGTCTCGAGGAAAGGTAGACCAAGAAGATCTATCCCTAATGGCACGTCCCATGGCTCGAGATGACACTCGTCCACGGCCGCTCGATTTGCCTGCTAAACCTATTACGGCTCTTTCAGGCACACAAGGCTCACCTTCGAAGAAACGCGACACGGGAAGTACGGTCAATTTAACGAATCCGGTAGTAAGACGTCCCAGTCCTCCGATAGCATCTGCTCCGAAAGTCTCAGGCCTCTCCTCTGCGCCATCTCCCCTGACACAAATGAAAGGTAATCCGCGTTCTCAGGTAGAAGTCCTGTTGAGACTAACAATTGCATAGACATGGCGGGTCCCTTTTCACAAGACTGTTATCGTCAGAATGGAATCCCTTCTGAGCCTAGGATCGCCCCGCATAGCCCGCCGAAACTCGACGGAAAGGTTCCTACACCATCTCAAGGCCAACAGGTCTTCACAGCACCCGGCGTGCTGGAAGAACCACGTATATCCCAAAATGACGTAGGTACAGTCTTAGATCGGAGGACTGTCCCCGAGGCAAATGGAGACGTAGGTAGTCCGATGGCCGTGGAATCTCCTAGCCCTTCAAGTCAACCTGTAGGCGCTGGAAATGCTGTGAACACCTCTGATAACCTTGGAGCGACCTCTGGATCGCCTCTCGCTGTCGAGAGAGTACCTTTACAAGGCGTAGATCGACAATCTTCTGGAGCAGTCTCTCTTGAAAGTTATTTGAAAGGTTCCGAAACAATCGCAGGACCATCTGGACCGGAGGCAAAGACTCTGAAGGGTGCACTATGTCGAGCTATTCAGGCGAGACGCGAGCATGACCGACAGACACGAGAAGATCGTGTGGAGCCTGTTCTGCACTCGAACTTCCTCATTGCTCCGCGGAAGGCTCCGCCATACAAGTGCTCCCCACAGGGAGTGATCAATGAGATTGCTGAGGGACCACTCAGGCGGGCCAGACTTGCTCGACACCAAGAACTTCGGAAAGGTTTCATCTCGATCTTCGCAGACCGCCATGCGAAGATTCTTCAGCATCAGCAGGAGCTCCGGGAGACGTATTTGAGACTGCACGAGGAATGGAAGGCCAAGTGCGCGGACTTGGATAGAGATAAGGCTAAGCCTCCGGCACCTGGAGAGGGTCCCTCTACTTCTGGCCGGACGACTCGTCGATCAGCTGCTACTATGGGCGATGCTGTTCGATCGGATCTGGAGATGGAACAAATCATCGCTAGCTTAGGGAATGAAGACCTGACAGATGCTACCTCCTTAGCGGCGCGTAACGCCGCCAAGATACCGGATATGATCTCTGTCGTGAAGGGTCGAGCAGACTATGTCTTCGACGACACCAACAACCGCGTTCTCGATCCTCCGAAGTTCTATTCCTCGAGGACTGGATTCTACGACTGGACTGAAGAGGAGACACAGACCTTCTTTGAGCAATTCGCTGCTCACCCCAAGCAGTTTGGTATAATCGCGGAGTTCCTACCTCACAAGACGACCGCTCAATGCATCGCTTACTACTACTTGCATAAGAAGAGCCAATTCGACTGGCGCAAGGTGATCACGATGTTTGGTCCAAAAAGGGGGAGGCGTGGTGGCAAGCGGGCTACGGATAAGCAGAAAGGCAATGCTCTGCTCACGGATATCCGCAGGCATGATGCAGAGGTCTCGGGGGATGTCAACGGATCTGGCACTCGGGGCCGAAGGGGAGCCGCGCAGAGCGGGAGGACTGTCGCATCTCGGCTCGGATTAGATGACACACCCACACCTAATTCCACTCCAGACCCAGAGACGACCAGCGGGAGACCTCGCCGTAACAGGACAACGCGTTACCCGGTTAATCCGGATGCGGATGACGACGGTACAGTCAGTCTCAGTCCCCCAGGTTTCGATGGCTGAATATGTTCACTCATATGTTCGTTATAGGATAGTGAGTCCAAGGACAGAAGGAGGGGGCGAAGGACTCGGAAGCCGAGGGTCTTGAAAGACGGGTCCGAAGAAGCTCTGGAAACCAAGTTCATTGATCAAACTGAGTCTACTGCTCGACGCAAGACAGCAACAAGCCATGCCAATTGGACAGAGAATGATAAAAGTAGCTCAGACTGCTCGTCGCACGCAGCACGCTTACTGACGCAGCGTCTACAGTTCTGTTCTTGCGATTGCTGAGTCAATACGGTGATGATTTCAAGCGAATTGCTGCTTCTATGCCACATAAGGTGCGTTCAACTGGTGTACGAATATAGCTTCCTCCTGACCTGTTAGCAGACTACGATCCAAGTGACCAATTTCTATAAGAACAACTTGAACTCGCTGCGTCTTGATCAAGTAGCGGCGGGCGCCCCGAAGCGGTCACCGACACCACATAGCGCATCTGACAATTGGCAGGACGTTCACCGCCCCTACCCACCATCGAATGACATGTCTCCTTCCCGTTATGATAGTGCTCTCCCTGAAAGACCAGACGGACCATCTGAAGAGCCGGAGCCGGAAGCCTCTCAGCAACCTAGGCAACCTACCCCTCCTCCCCCGCCTGCTTCTGGCCAGCAGCAAGTTATAGACTTTCGGAATGGCGTAATAATTGACCAGCGATCAACATGGTTCAGTGCTGGCTCAAATGGCGCTGGTCCTCAACCACCTGCTGGGCCACTAGACCCCGCCGGCCATTTTACCGGGACTGTCGATCTCGGGCTACGCATGTATCAAGGCATCCAGCCTCAGATCCAGTATCGTCCTATGGGCGGACCTCTGCCCAGCTTAGGTGCTGTTCTTCCTGGCCAGGGTCTCCAGTATGGCTTCACGCCGGAATATAATACCTATGGTCGTCTGCCCTATCATCGCTCGATGCCGCTTGGAGCCGCTGATCCGCGACATCCACCGCTACCAACACGCCAAGATGAACGACCCTATTCCGGACATCCGCAGAATTCTCCTACCTACAATACCTTCACGCCCGATCAGTATGCCGGTCAACCCGGTCAGCCTCACTGGCCAGCGAGCTAGTACAGGTCATTGATCCGGAGGTAACGCCCAGAGATCTCTTAATATTGCTCTGTCATTTCTGTGTCCGTAGCCGCTCTGGGTACCGCTGACGTCTAATGTGTTTTTTTCTCTGCTGTTATCACATAATTGGTTCCACTAGGCTAAGTATATCGAGTTCATCCTTGGTTCATCCCGCCCAACTTCAAAGTTCGGCATATTCCGGAGGGTATCGGTCCCACCTCAGCAGTGTCTCCGGTTTATCACAAATCGATCGAAAGATGTTTGATGTCTGTCGCTCGAGAGGATCGAGAGAGCACGCTCATCACCCGCTCAAGACGTAGGTCCCTTTGACAGCGTAAGATCGGTAATCACAGGCTGAGTCGAGGGAACGCACGAGAGCTAACTACAGTATGTGAGTGTCCTATCCAAGGATGAAGGTGCGTGGGGCTATACCACTCACGCCGATAAATCCGTCAGAATTGCGTGAGATATGTCTGGCGCACTGTTTGTGTCCTCGCCTGGACTACTACATGCGGGCGAATCCCAGCGGCCTCCAACCATACGATGACGCATATGCTGCAATAAGCCAGTCATACAGACCTATAAATTCTCTGCATGACATGCTGGTCGTTAACGTCGCATCCTTGAATGGTGTCTTTCATGGTTCCAACCAAGTGGACCCTCGTGCCCTGCGACGGTTCCGTCACCCTTGCAGAACTCGTTGACTATCGTCTCGAGCAGAATTACGATCACACGTACGCAGTCTTTCCTTCCGACGGTCCTACTGCAGAACCTGTAGAGATCACGTTCTTGGAATGGGGCCGGGCGATCCACCGGATGGCTCATATCGTCCGTCCTGAGCCAGCGTCCGGAGCGCGGGAGGTCGTTGCCTTGATGATGAATACCGACACCCTGATGTATACCACGACAATGATGGCTGTGGTGAGGGCGGGACTAATAGTGCGTTGTGATTATCTTCAACCCGATGTTAATATACATTACAGGACATCTGTTCTCTTGATGTAGCCGTATCCAATGTCTATACGCAATCCCCCGGCTACAGTGGCGCACTTGCTTCAGAAGACGTCCTGTCATCGTCTGATTACAACGTCCAGTTCACTCGGCTCGATCGTCGCCGGGGTCCAAGCTGAACTTGCGTCCGTAGATTACCAGCTGCAGGTCAAGGAGTTACCGTCTCTCTTTGATGCGTTCCCCTATCTTGGTCATGAGAAAAGCAGCGATCCATCTATTCCCTACCCGCGTTTGAACCATAGCAAGATGGACGACATCGTCACATATCTGCATTCTTCCGGCTCTACTGGACTCCCCAAGTCCATTCCTCATACAAACAAAACTGTCCTGGGCTGGTTCGGTGGAAGTAAGCACTAGGACCTTTTACTCCGGCACGGCTACAATAACTCACTCCTCGGCATGTTTTCAGCCGTAGCCCTTGATATGTTCCGCTATCCCAGGCATCTGAAGTTTGGCGTGCCGCATCTCCCGACGTTTCACGTCTTAGGTGCCGCCTTCCAAGTTTGGTATCCCTTGCTAGCCGGGACAACTGTAGCTTTCTTCACCCCCACATATCCGGATCCTCCACCTATCCCGAACCTTGGCAATATACTAGAAGCTGTGAAGCGATCTAAAGTCAACGCCTTGACCTCTGTGCCCACTTTCCTGGAGGTGCGAAGCAGTTGGTTGCCGTCATATTGTCGCATCAGATCCTGACGGCTTGGATACAGTTATGGTCGCAATCCGATGACGCCGTCGCTTTTCTGGCATCTATGGAGATCGTGGTAGGTCGCTCCGAATAACTATGTCGTAAAGCCGAGTGCTGAGGCCACATGAGTAGCTCTTCGGCGGAGGTCCCTTGTCTCGACACGTTGGAGACAAACTCGCCTCGAAAGGTGTTAACTTACACTCTGGCTATGGCGGGACTGAATTCCCATGTCCTACATACATGACACCCCCTCCTGGAATGGCAGAGCCCACAGACTGGGAGTATCTCCCCTTTGATTCGAAAGTGCCGACACGGATGGTTGCGCAAGGTGACGGGATGTACGAGCTTCAGATTTTGGTAAGTACATCCTGAATGAACCTGGTAACGGACTAAGGGGTACTCGGCGACCTAGGATAGTGACTCTCACCCTCTGCTGATCAAAAATATGCCGGATGTCCCTGGTTATGCCACATCTGACCTCTTCGAGAAGCACCCAACGAGGGAAGGTCTGTGGAAAATGTATGCTGCCACAGCTTCTACGACTGTCGACGGGTTGGCAATCCTGACGGCTGCATACAGTGTAGGACGAGCTGACGATTTGGTTATTCTCGCTTCAGGTCAGCATATATCTGCATGGTATGTCGAAGCTCAAGATGCCTTTTCTAATTCAGCATTTGATAGGGGAAAAGATCGTGCCTGGCCCCATCGAAAGCAAGATCTTAACCTCACCCCTCGTTTCCGGCGTCATACTATTCGGTCGCGGTCATAACCAAGCCGGGATCCTCGTAGAACCAAGACTGGAATATGTCGTCAACCCATTGGACGACGTCGCTTCGGCTGAATTTCGCAACATGCTTTGGTAGGTCACCTGAGTTTTCCGGTAAAGCAGGTTGCTTATGTATCTATCAGGGCTATTGTGGAAGAAGCAAACAAGGAGGCTCCGGCATATAGCCGAATATTCAAGGAGATGATCTTAGTCACTGCCCAAGACAAGCCTATGCGGCGTGCAGCCAAAGGTACGGTCATCAGGAAGGCCACTCTGGCAGATTATGCGAAAGAGATCGATGATCTGTGGGTCGTCGTTCCATCGTCCCTAAAGAGCGTATGCTGACGTATTGTGTAGGTATGCGAGATTGGAGTCAAGTGAAGGTGACAGCGTTCAACTTCCGAAGAGTTGGAATGAGGCCGATCTTCAGGAGTGGCTTATGGCCCAAGCAGAGGGCCTCAGTGGACGCAGTCAGCACAGGGAGCCGGATCCTGACGTCGATCTATTTTCCCAAGGATTTGACAGGTATGTTTTGTCAGGCTCCGCAATTCTGATACAAGGTGCTACTAGTCATGGTTAGCCTAAGCGCAACTTTTCTACGGAACCGTATCACGGAAGCGCTGCGCTCGTCGGAGAATTCGACGATGAAAACCGCTGCCATGTCTGTACCGCAAGACTTCGTCTTCGCCAACAACACTATCCGGTCATTAGTGCTGGCTATCCGAAATCTGCTAATCCCTCAGGCAATTGATCACGCACACCAGTCCCATGCTACCATTATGGATGACTTGGTCAAAAAGTATACCACAAGCATGGTGAAGCCGGAGCGGCAAGATACACCTCCCCTTCCGCCGAAAGCGACCGTACTTGTCACCGGCACAACTGGGGGTCTAGGGTCCTACATTCTCTGGATGCTGCTCGAGGATGATCAAGTGGAGCGGGTGTACGCATTTAATAGGAAATCTACCAAGACGGCTCTGGCTGCACGACAGAACGCATCCTTTAAAGAGCGAGGTTTGCCCACTAGTTTGTTGACGTCTTCGAAGCTCTTCTTGGTGGAGGGCGAGGATGCTGAGGATGGATTGGGGCTCTCTAATTCTTTGTACGAAGAGGTCTGTCTTCTTGACGGGACATCGCTACTCGCGTTCGCTAACATTCGCGATGTCAGTTACGGGCTACCTGTACTCATATCATCCACAATGCTTGGAGACTGGACTTCAACCTAACCGTTGCATCCTTCGAGCCAAACATTAAGGGAGTGAGGAATCTCATAGACTTGGCTCTAAGATCTTCATATGGCGTTAACTTCCGGTTCGTCTTCGCGTCTTCCGTCTCTGTGGCGCAAGGCTGGCCTAGAGACCGTGGAACGTTCCCGGAGGAGTCAGATTTGCCTGTAGATGTGGCCGTAGGGGCGGGTTATGGGGAAAGTAAATTCGTATCCGAACAGGTAATTCCCATCGACGCTGATCATTTTTCTGTGAGTCGAATGACTGAAGCGCTCGACCCAGCTCCTTGCGAAAGCGGCGGAATGTGGGCTGCAGACGACAACACTCCGGATTGGCCAAATTTGCGGCGGTAAGTCAAATGGCTCATGGGCTACCACGGATTGGGTGCCTATGTTGGTCAAGTCGAGTAAAGCCTTGGGATGCCTACCGAATGCGCATGGGGTTAGTGATTGCGCGTGTTCCTTACAATTCTAGTAATAAACGCGACCTGACAGGTGGTTACGTGGGTGACCTCGGATGTGGTGGCGCAGGCTGTCCTTGATGCGACATTAGCGAAGGAGGGTCCTCCTTCCGCCCTCAACATATTGCATCCGCGGCCTGTGCCTTGGTCTCTCATTATTTCGGGGATCAGCAGCGCCTTGGCGAAGATCGTTGATGATGGCAGCAACGAACCTCTACCGATCGTGTCATTCAGACAATGGGTAACACTCTTGGAGGCCAAAGCCAGGGACGCTACCGAGAAGGATATGAAAGCCATTGTGAGTCTGAATGAGTTCATAACATCCCCTCTGACCTGTCGCCTAGCCTGCCCTTAAAATCCTACAATTCTATCAACGTATGGCCTCGTCTGACGAAGTATTACGTGCCTCCGGGAGGACAGACGAAGAGACTGGTATGCTGCCATTTGTAACCGAGAAGGCTCAGAGTATAAGTGCGACTCTGAGAGAAGCCCCTCAGCTGGTCGAGGAAGATGCAGAACGGTGGATCAAATATTGGCATGGGAAGGGACTCTTGTACTGAGGCTCGGAGGACTGATTGTTGGGAGATATGAGAGCCTATATAATTGTGACAATTCAATAACCATACCCATATTGTTCGCTCCTTTCCTAAGGATCTCGTAATAAGTATTATTTCGCATTCCCAAGCCGTTTAGACGGTCTAGTTATCGTCTTTGTTGTAATGACGCGATAATTCACGCGCTGGTATATATATAGTGCTGCCCAAGTGCTCAGAGAATGGTGAATGTCGTGGCTTCGCGCTCTCTACCTCAGATTCACTGGAAGCCACAATATTGTGGCCCGGGCTCGCGTGGTCATCATGATCTCGTGCTTGCACCGCCACTTGTTAGCCCGGTCCGGAGCTGCTCTTTAGCGAGCACTGGTCAAGCGTCGCGCCTGCCTGTGGCGGCTACCCTCTGCTACCAAGCTGGTTGTACTAGTAGATTGTATCTGGACGGCCTACTATGGCGAGCACGATGAGTACGAAGCTGAACATGGACGGCATCATGCTGTTTGAGGAGCCATTTGTTCGAGTCAGTGTATATGTTGCAACGCTGAACAAATCTGAGGCTAACCCGTGCGAAGGTTCCGTACGAGAACTATCGCAAGGTCTTCCGCGCGTCGCAGCGGCATGTCGAAAAAGATCTGTCGGGGGTGCAGAAAGCTGCCAGTGACATCGAGAACCGATGGCGCGCAGGTGGCCATGACGTCGACGAAGCAGTCAAGTCTGTCCAGGCCATGATTGGGCGGGTAGAGGGTCTTAAACGAAAGGTGGCCTGCAGATGATACTGTATTCCAGTCAGAGGACTTAAATCTCATGCTTGCAGCTGTCCGACCTTCATGATACATCCGGTAAACCTACGCAAGATGTCATGCGCGAGCGCCTCAAGTACCTAGGTCAAGTGGAGACTATGCAGAGCGCCGACGGACATGAATTCGCCCAATGGTCGGATGTCCGACTCGATCGATGGTTAGTAGACTGGTCTTTGCGTAGGGGGAGGGAGAAAAGCGCGAGGAAGATAGCCCAGGAGAAGGAGATCCAGGTAGGTCTTACCTCCTACCGACTCGCGTTTCATTCACATTGCATGAATACAGTGCTAAGCACATTGCAGAAACTAGTGGACATCGATTTGTTTACCGATATACACCGGATAGAAACTGCTCTAGAAGGACATAGCTGTACGGAGGCTCTCGCGTGGTGCAGCGAGAACAAGTCCGCGCTCCGCAAAGCGAAGGTGAGTTTACGTATTTCCTCCGCTTTTACGAACTAAAACCTCACCGCTTCAGAGCACACTGGAGTTTGATTTACGCCTCCAAGAATACATCGAGCTATGCCGTGCAGGTAAAGCGGTCGAAGCGATCGCGTATCTCAAGAAACACCTCACATCATGGCAAGACACACACTTGGCGCAAATCCGACAGGCCTCAGCCTTGCTCGCCGTCTCGCCCTCTACAAAGACTGGGTCATATAAGGTATGTGTTTCCCCACGTATCTTCCTTCCTGTCATGCATTATCCTCATTCCGTCTCCCCAGCGTCTCTACGACGTCGCACGCTGGAAGACGCTGGTCCAGGCGTTCCGCCTTGCCGTATACAGCCTCAACACGTTACCAACCGAGCCGCTGTTTCACTACGCGCTGAGCGCGGGCCTCGCCTCCCTGAAACTGCCCGCATGCTACGACCCCGCCTCGAAGAACGCGGACTGCCCCGTCTGCGACCCGGCGCTGGGACAGCTTGCGAAGGAGGTGCCCTTCAGCCACCACGTGAACTCCACGATCGTGTGCCACATCACGGGCAAGGTCATGGACGAGGATAATGCGCCGATGGCGTTCCCCAACGGCTATGTCTATTCGCGAGAGGTGGGTCGCTCGCGACGTGTTTCAAAGCTGAAATTAATCCCCTCTTTCTGAATGAACAGGCGTTGGAAGACATGGCTGCAAAGAATGATGGGATCGTGACGTGCCCCCGCACCAATCATAGTTGCGAGTTTTCGGCATTACGAAGGGTATACATTTCGTGATCGCCTGCAGCTGTCGATTCGGGATGCATCGACTATAATTTTGTGAGTGCGGATGCTGGGTGTGTATGTCAAATGTATGTAGTTTTATTCTCGCAACGCACGCTAGCAACAGAGGTGTACTATGTCAAGTTTCTGTCAAACCTACGCCACTTTAACTACCCGCTCCTGTCTTCCCTGTCCTCTTCCAATAGCTTCTGTGATTTGCAGAGTGTCCCTCTGCGGTACCGATCAGCGGTAATGGTGTCGTTTCAGGTTTACCCCGGGAGAAAAGAAGCCCTGCCTCCCTTCCTTTCTTCCATCTCTTCTCTGCAGCCAACTTCTCATGATCACTTGTAGTCCAACTCCTCTCGGCAAATGCTCCGGAACCGACGTGAAATGAACTGGAGTAAATGAAGAAAACGGGAAGAAATTCATTTTTATTGTATTTTGAGCACCGGCACCGGCGGGACCTCCGTTTGCCGGAATTGCCAAAAAGGATCGTCCTCAACTTGCACGTTGCGCGCTGCAGCTACTGCGGGTGGGGCCTGAGGTCGAAGGGTTTTGTTGTCTCTCTATTCTCTCCCTCTCTAACGATCTGTAATAACATACTAATCCTCGGCAAGATGTTGCGTCCCCAGAAAGTGACGGCCCGCGAGGCACGCGATGCGGCTCAAGCGCATCGAAGAAACCAGACGCCAGAGTCACGAACCGTCACTTGGAGAGCCATCGAACCCTGGCAGAGGGACAACGACTATATACTCGCCGGGTACCGCAGGTAAATTACCCACCGCCGCTGCTCCGCCTGCCGTTGTAGCTCACCGCAACACATTTACAGAGCCCAGCGCAGCTTCCGCGGCTGTCTGGCATCCGTCTTTGGCTGTGAGTGGCTGAGCAATGGCGGATCCGCCTCATTCCACAACTAATTGACTGACTGACTGACTGTGTACTCGGTGCCTTTCACTTGGCAGACCTTCACAACGAGACAGGTCAGTACGCCCGCAGCGTTGCCGTTTGGCTGCTGATACACTTTCCCCCACCTGCGCTGGCAGTGAACATACACAGCCATCTCTGGGGCGCGCTGCTCTTTGCGTACCTCCTGTGCACGTACCCGCGCACGTACCTCGCGGCGCACGCAACAACAACGTGGGCGGATTACGTCGTCGCTGCGATATTCCTCTCGTCGGCCGTGTTCTGCCTGGCGAGCAGCGCGGGCATGCACACGTTCTCGTGCCACTCGGAGCCGGTTAGTAGTGTAGTTGTCCATGTCATCATTGAGGGGGATCGTCGCTGTCCCGCCCCGCCGCCACAGCTTAGTGATTGCCTTCGCTTTGTTCCAGGTGTGCGCGCGCTGCCACGCGCTGGACTATACGGGCATTGTCGGTCAGTACTCAGTCTGTGTGTCCGCTGCTGGTTTGTTTGGCGCGCTCACTGTGGCGTGTATTTCACGTTTCGCCCGCAGTGCTAATTGTGGGATCGTTCTTCCCGTGCGTGTATTACGGGTTCTACTGTGACCCGTTCTGGAGAGCGCTGTATCTGACTGTCATTTTGGTCTCTGGGCTCGGTGAGTACCGTCACTACATTTTGTCTTCCTTGGCAGGAGCGGATGCACCGCCTCTACAATGAAAATGCTTCCTCTTTATTGACTGCTCCCGCGGCTGTAAATTAACTTCACGTGTACAGGGGCGGCGTACATAGTCCTTAACCCGGAGTATGCTCGGCCGAGCCACCGTGGAGCGCGGACGAAGGTGTTTATTGCGCTGGGACTGTCCGCGGTGCTGCCGGTCACGCACGCGCTCGCGTCGCATGGCTTTGCAAAGCTGCTGCGCGAAATGGGATTCGGGTGGCTCGTGCTCTCCGGCGCGCTGTACATCGCGGGGGCCCTATTATAGTGCGTCATCCTGTTGCCCTCTCACGGCTATTTTCGTCTGTGTTAATTAAAGACACTCTCGCTGCCGGTGGTCTCGGTGTTGTTCTCCCGTTGTGCCAATTCAGCGCGAACCGGATCCCAGAACGCTTCGAGCCGGGGCGGTTTGACTATTTCTTTGCGTCGCACCAGATATTCCACGTGTGCGTGGTGCTGGCGGCGCTGGCGCATTATACGTGCGTGCTGACTGCGTTCGAGCATTGGCATTCCCGCGGCGGGCAGTGCGTTTAGAGAGGACGGAGTGACGTGTGTATGTACTCACGGGCCATGCGGGGATTGTTTACTCGAGTCTAATATTAACTTTTATGTTGTCCTCTGATGTCGGGCATTTGGGTATGTTGGACAGGTCTGGGGCCGTATGTTTGCTGTCTACTGACTAATCGTCCGATACTGCTCAGAGTCGGGTGCTTCTGCGTGCGTATGTTGTTGTGGGATAACATACAGACGCACTAACACATGCGTAGGGTTCACGTCACTTGTGCTTATATATACTGAGACCTGAGAGACGCCTGCGATATCTGGGAACCTTATCTGAGAAGGAATGAGGACGCGAGGGCGCTCCGTATACTTTGGCAATGAAGGGCGCATTGTGGCCCGGGGACACAAGAAAGTGACAATTAGATGGACTTTACGGGCTTGACAGAGTGGCATGATCGCAGATCGAGAGCGAGTGCCTTGATGCTATCTAGGTACGGAGGAAGGCAGCGATCCAGGCCGGGCCACCGAGGACGCAGATGAGATAGGCCCCGGGACGGGCACTGGGAAGGTCCATGTGAAGGGCGGCCTGTCCGAGGTCCGGGGTATTTTTGGGCGGTGTGCGCAGGGTTTTCCGCGAGCGTACGGCGTGTTTTGGCGGGCGACACTGGTTTCCGCCGTCATTAAATGGAGTGCAGCGGCGGGGGAGGCAGGCGTGACGCAGCTGGGATATGACCGCAGGCCACGTGTGCCGGTGCCGCGCAATCGGTGCCGAGGTGAGGGCAGGTCCCGAAAAGGAAATGTGACAGAAGCGCGCGTCCTGGCGTATGCAGAGTGTGGCCTGACTGATATTCCCTCGCTCCGCGACCCGGCGCCGAAAATGTGAGCAAGCCGGGCCTTTTCCTGGCTTTTCGCTACCGTGCATTCCACCCTTCACAGTCCCCCCGACGTCCCCCTCCTCCTCCTGTCCCGCCCCTACCCATGTGTCACTGCGCCGCCTGCACCCTTTAAAGCAGACGCCGTCCAGAACACAGCGTCCCCTGCCCAGCCATGTATCCAGTCGGCATCCCCTGTGTCGTGAACGCCTTCCTTTCTTCCTCCTCCTCCGTCCAGTTCGCCATCGCCATCGTCGTCGCCGCCGTCCTCCTCATCCTCGCACTATGCTCATCACCGTTTGCCACCAAGCCAAAGGACGGCGAGCCCGCCCATCTGCCAGACCACTCGCTCTTCGCCATCGTACCCTTCTTCCGTAATCGTTTCGACTTTCTCAGCTGGGGCTTTCGCGTTACCGGCGAGTCTCTGTTCCAATTCCGACTGTTGCAGGTACGTGCCGTACCTGCGTCATGTTTGGTCGGGCGTGCTCACATGCACCGGCCAATTCAGCACCAAGTCATTGCGGTCTCGGGGGAGGCGGGGCGCAAGGCTTTTTTCACCGCCAAATCCTTGGACCTGAATGAGGGCTTCAAAGTCCTATCGGGCGCAGTGAGTTCATCACGCCTTCCTATCTCTGATCAACGCCTCAATATACTATGATTTGCGCGCAGATCCCGATGTTGCGGGGCGTCACCTCCGACCTCGAAATGCGCCGCATCGCGCAGATATACAAGCGCGTGTCCATCGTGCAGCGCGAAGACCGACTCACGCAGCGTACGTCCCGTTGACGCCATTCATCATGCGCATTCCTGACTTCTTGTGTTTCGGCTGCGCGCGCGTCTCCATTAGTCCTCCCAGAAATTATCGAAGACTGCCGCCGGATCATGGGGTCCTGGGGATCTTCGGGCAGATTTGATCCGTTCGAACGAGTCTACGACGTAAGCATGATTACGTCTTTGTCCCCGCAGGCATCCCGCTTACCTTGCCCGCTCCCAATAATCATGTGTAGCTCGTATTCCAGACGACTGTGCGTAGTCTGACATGTGTTGAGATAGCGGACGACGCCGCGGTGGTGGCGCGTCTCAAGCATCTCTATGGGCGCCTCGATAGCGGCACCACACCCGCAACGGTTCTATTACCGTGGTTCCCAAGCCCTGCTATGGTAAAGAAAGTGTGGGCCACCAAGCAGATATACGACATCTTAATGGGCGCGATCAACGCGAGGATCCAGAGCGGCGTCCCGCGGAACGATACCCTCCAAATTCTGCTTGATTACGGCGACGACAAGTTAATTATCGTAGGGGTAAGCTCGCACTCTAATCTTCCGGCTGAAAGGTGCAGCGCTAATCGACTTCATTAGTTCTTTATCGGGTTAATTGTGGCGGGCGCGAGAGCTACCGGGGCATCTGGTGGGTTCTCTCCGCCCTTCTGGCCATTCTATAGATAAGCTGATTGTGTATGTTTGCAGCTTCGTGGCTGGTCACGTTCCTCGGCGGAGACCCGGAGTGGCGACGCAGAGCCCGCTCCGAAATTGAAAGCCTCCTTTCTGTCTATTCACCGGTTACTCCTTTGCGAACATCGTATGCTTCACAAGATCAATCCCCTTCGCCTGCACCCTCAATACCACAGTCCCCCGAATCCTCACATCGCCCGCCGTCCCCGCCATCCCTTTCTTCCCGCCTAGCCGACATCCCGCTATCAGCGTGGGAGGGCTCCACGCCCGTCCTGGACGCGGTCATCCGCGAAACCCTGCGGCTTGCGCAGCCGCACACCGCGATGCGGCGGAATGTCGGGCCCGACCTGGTCATCGACGGGAAGACCGTGCCGAGCGGCGCCTACGTCGTGTACCCGTTCAGCGACGTGCACCTCGACGCGGACATCTACCCCGATCCCTGGCGGTTCGACCCCGGGCGGCCCGCGGACGCGAAGCGCGCTCATGCGTGGGTCGGGTGGGGCGGGGGTAAGACGGTGTGCCTCGGCCAGCGCCTCGCGAAGCTCGAGATGAAGATTATTGCGGCGATGTTTTTGGTTGGGTTCGACTATGCGGTTGTGGATAAGGCGGGGAAGCCTGCGGACCCGCTGCCCAAGCCGAATTGGAACGACGCGCTGATGTGTCGGCCCGAGGCTGGGTCGTGTTATGTCAAGTATGAGAGGGCGGCTTCATCGACATCTTCAAGTTCATCTTCATCGCCATCGTCACCATCATCACCATTATAGATCAACGTGGGATTCAAGTTCTGGGCTTTCGATTCTTCCATGGTATCTTCTCCACTGTCTTTCACCTCGTTGCCTCGTTTTGGACGGGACTTGGGCACTCTGGATGGACTGTATTCTTTATTCTCCGTCTCCGTCGGCTGCTGACTTATGATCCACTCACCGTCATTGCTCTGCTCTGCTCTTAGACTTTCTTGCCACTCTCCTTAACGTATTACATTTATTGCTTTTACTTATTCTCGTTTTGCTTCTCCTCTCCATGTTCTTTATGTTTTTCGTTCTCTTTTCTTTCTTTTCTTTTCTTTTCTTTCAAGTCGTCATGTGGGGTTATATGTTTGTGTTTGTACGTTGCTGACTGGCTCTCTCAGCGCTAGGATTATCTTAGACATATACTTAGGTAGCATCTGTTTCGATAGTAGTACTACTCCAAGCGTAATTGCAGGCAAGAGAAGTCCTCAGATCTTACTACGCGCGTTTGAATTCGGGCCCGAGATGAGATGAAATTACACTCAGAGGCTTCGAATTCATTAACGTAGGTTATACGACAGCTATACTTTCATATGAAGCGCGGTCGTAGTATAGATGCCAAGCAGTCGGGGTGTATACATGACGACAGACAGCCGGTGGTTTGGGTACGCCGGACGACTATGGCACGCGGGATCTTCCATCGACGACGTCCAGCGAGATATCCCGATTCCTTACTGCTTCCCCGCTGGCTTGACAGGTTGCCTGTATTTACGTACGAGGCGGCGAAGCTGTCAGAAGAGCCGTGGGCAGGAAGATCCGACGTTCTTGCTGCACCCACAGAGAAGGCGGGTGCCATTTGAACAAGTTGGAATACAATTAGTGCCAATATCGCGATCGTTGTAAACCGAAAGAGTTCTGGCGCTTCGTGAGATCGCATTATCGAGCGGCAAGTCGAGAAGATCTTTGGTGACGGCGGGCAGATTGTCCGCAAGGATCGCGAAACGCAAGGGCGCTTGTCCACGGCTCCGTTAGTCGAGAGAGAGCCGGTCACGGTCGTCCCCTCCGGCCCCGCGCCTCCTCCCGAGCTCTTCATCTATCCGGGCAAGCTCCTCCGCCTCGCGCTGAGCGCGCTCCCTGCTCTTCATCCGCGCGCGCTCACGTTCCTCGCGCACGAGCTCGATCCTTCTCTCGCGCGACGGCTCCCACTTGCTCCTGAGGATCCGCCTGACGGCCTCCGGGCTGATCCTGAAGCGCTCCGCGAGCACGGGCGTCGTGAACGTCGCGGGGTCGATCCTGTGGAACTGCCGGAGCGCGTCCATCGCCTCGCGCGACAGCTTGCGCGGCGGCTGCCAGCCTTCGGGGAACGATTCGCGCAGGACCGTGCGATGCGCGGCCCACTGCGCTGGCGTGGGCCGTTTGGGCGGGTGCAGGCGGTTCCGGGGTAGTATCCTGCGAGCGCTGGTGTCGTCCTCGGGATCAGATTCCGATAGGGGGCCCGGTTCGTCCTCGGGGACCAGGGATGGGGGAGAGGGAATGCCGGCCGTGCGCCAGTCGGTGCGAGGCAGCGGGCTTCCGTCCGAGTAGAGGCGATTTATGAGGCACCGTGAGGGTATCGGCCTCCGCGTCGGCGCTGCGCGAGCCAAGACGCGAGAAAGAGAGAATATCATCGCGGCGACAGTCGAAGTGTGCGCTGCGAACGAGACGCAGAGGACATGATCCTGAAGAAAGAAAACACAGCTCGATTCGGCGAATGCCGAGCGCCCACAGCGCTCACGACGACCGTGACTTCCGGTATCATCTTAATCTCCTTCAGCTCTGTCCCCTTCGCCTCCCAGCGAGGTCGCCTAATACGGTTCTCTTTTTCAATCTCTTGTCTCAGTAATATTTAGTCCTTATGGCGGATTTGTCCGACCCGGCCATTAACGAGGGTCAGCTATACTTAGGCTTGGTCCAGTAATTGAACCTTACAGTCGCTCATGTAGCGTACCTCGACGTGCGTAACGATAAATCCGAGACCAACTGGCTGCTTTTGGACTATGAGGTACGTGTATTCTATCTGAATCTAGTATGCAACAAACTGACGCTGCCTGATAGTCAGACCGTTCTGACAAGCTCGTCCTCACGAAAACCGGCACGGGCGGCCTTGCTGAGCTGAAGGAGGAGCTGGAGGACAGCAGGGCGTCATACGCGTACGCTCGCGTGCGGTATGCTAATGACAAGGAGTCGCAGAGGGAGAAGTTCATCCTCGTTGTGTGGATCGGGCCCTCATGCAAGGTTATGCGGAAAGCGAAGGTCAGTGCTCCTCCCGCATTGGCATTGACTGCACCGTCTTCGATATGCAGTAATGCATCCGAGAATTTCCGCTACCAACAGGGGGGCTTCTGCGGCTCGCCTAGCGGTATTGAGCTGTTTGGGAACACGCATTCCCATACTAGTCCTTACTGACGTCCTTCTTACCTCCGCCAGATCTCTGTGCACGCCGCAGACGTGAAGCAGGTCCTGCGCGTGTACTCCATCGAGGTCGCAGCCCGGGAGAAGGACGACCTAAACGAAGAGCCAATCGTCAAGCGGTTACGGAAGGTCTGTCGTCGCACACCATGCATGCCCGCCTATTCTTACATGTCCGCTCACCCAGGCCGGAGGGGCGAGCTACGACGGCGTGTGACTCGAGTGGTCGGGTCCGGTTCTCGCCATTGCTGTCTCGTTTTCGTCGCTCAGTCGTTACCGGTGTATCTTGGGTCATCGCGCGGATACTAGTTTCACCTGCACGCCTTATCTCGCGGGATGTGACCGAGTCGCTCGCACAGGCACACGAGCCCGGAAATAGTTCCCGGACCGCCCTGGCAGAGTCACATTGCGTAGGTTCTTCTCGTTACGTACGCGGGCGCCACCTGCGACTCTCGCCTACTCACTCGCGCTTGAGCGCGAGCGACTTGAGGTTCTGGATGCCCTGCGCCTCGAGCCGCATGCCCATCCACTCGGACATCGCCTTCGCCCCCAGCTTCTTCTCGTAAAAGTCGATCGACGGCTGGTTCCACTGGTAAGGGGAGAGAGCACGTTCAGCGCGATGCAGCGGGCAGTTAATTCTGCGCACGTACGTTCAAGACCACCCAGTCGATGCGGGCACAGCCCTGCGGTCGGTCGGTGAGTTGGGCGCCAGGAGGGATTGGCAGGTTTGACGCACCTTTTCCTCTGCGATGAGGCCGAGCTCACCGAAGAGGGCTTTCCCAACGCCCGTGCCGCGGTATTCGGGTTTCACGAAAAGGTCTTCGAGCTAGAGACGCGGTGCACAGCTGTGTCTCTTCAGTAGGGGCGCAGTGGACGTACGTATATTCCTGGCTTTCCGGTCCAGGTTGAGAAGTTGAAGAAGTACAGCGCGAACCCCATTGCATCCCCGGGTGAGGACGCGGTGTCCGTGAATGCGAGCAACGTGTGCGCATATTTCTTTTCGAAGATGTTTTCCCGTAACTGCAGGGGAAATTATGTTGAGCGCACGTTCATGGCACGTAAATCGGGGCTTACGAGCTCGGGGGTTGCCTTAGCGGACTCCGGCTCCTTTTCGTAAGTTGCCTGCACTTTTATGTCGATATGTGAATGATTTCAGGTGTAAGGGGGCGTACAAGATCCTTGATTAATTGTAAAATGATTGGCTGAAGGATGGCTGCTGGTCAGATCCACAGATTGATATGTAATAAGACTGAACATACAATGTCCTTCTCCTCCGCTGGTCTAATATGAAAGGTAGTGCTAGACATCTTTCCAAGAGAGTGATTTTCTACAGCTACAAGTGTCCTTTGTAAAGGAAGAATACAAGCTTGAGATGTCGCGATAGGCGCCGAATTATATGAAGTGTGGCTGAACGTTGTATGCGCTTATTTGTCTTCAAACTTTACTTTTACACTCATCACGACCGACGACGACGTCGACGTTCCCGCCGTAGCCTCCCCGATCCAACGACCCTAAAAAGCACGATGGACCCCGCGAAATTGGCCAAGCTGCAGGCCGCGGCCGCGAACAACCGGATCGGTGAGCGCCCCCGCTGTTCAGAGCCAGGCCGCGCGTGCTAATGGATCGTTACGCGTCTATGCTATGTCGGTGACATTTGAAAATTGAAAATTGCTACGTCAATGCGTCTTTGTGGTGGGGATGCACGGTTGATGCGGTATAGGTGGGAAGGGCACGATGCGCCGCAAGGTTGTGCGGAAGTCGAAACCGAGCACGGCGCAGGACGACAAGAAGCTCCAGGGCGCGCTCAAGAAGCTGAACGTGCAGCCCATCCCCGGGGTTGAGGAGGTGAACATGTTCAGGGAGGACGGCAACGTGCTGCACTTCACAGCGCCCAAAGGTGAGCTTCATCTTCGTGTATTCATTAATTGAGAGGAAGGGGGGTGTAGAACGGACGAGACGTAGTGGGGATCACGTGGACGTGCTGCTCCATGCCGTCTTTGGAATTCGGATTTGCCGGGGTTGGATGAGACGAAAGAAGGTTATGCGGGGAACAGTTATCTTTGGGCTTGGAACGTTTCCCTTCATCTGAGTTCCGGTTGCCTTGTATCGATCGCTCACGCCTTGCTCTGGTATGTAGTGCACGCCGCCGTCTCTGCCAACACCTTCGCAATCTACGGTGCCGGTCAGGTGAAGGAGCTCACGGAGCTCGTCCCTGGTATTCTCAACCAGCTCGGGCCCGACTCGCTCGCCTCGCTGCGCAAGCTGGCGGAATCGTACCAGGCGATCCAGCAGAACCAGCAAAGGCCACCAAACGCCGGCGCGGACGATGACGATGACGACGTGCCAGACTTGGTCGAGAACTTCGATGCCGTGGAGGAGCAACCGAAAGAGGATGCCAAGGCAGAGGACAAGGCGGACGTCAGTGCGTTGGATTAGGGAGCGACGACTTTATGACCATGATTGGAGATGACGTTGGTGCTGCTGTATCGTGCTTTCGCTCCTCGCCCAAAATTACCTTCTGTTCCGGTGCGATCTCGATCTTGGCGTTGTTCGCCCTCGGTTCTGGATCGCACAAGACCCTACCCTATGTTCAGCGCTCTCCTCTGCATCTGCTGTCATGTATACTGCAACGCATCTTCAACAGCCATCTATGTATCGATTACTGAGCTACACAGATGCTTTCTAAGTCATGTTCATTGAGCCTTGCAGCGTAAGGGGTTGCCCCCGGGGGGGGGGGGTAGGTATACTACCCTGTGTGTTAGAGAATAGAGGGGCCGCTCAGTCGGCAGGCAGACATTGCGTTGGCCTTCATTTTGTCTTTGGAGACAAGCGCCAGCGCGCCGAGAGCTGGCGACGGATTCAGCCTTGCCTGATCTTTCGGAGGTGCCGCGAGGATCTGAATCTTCCCTGCCTTCGAATGTTTCTTCGGAAGTACGGCGTAGTCACCAACGACTCAGCCCAGGTGTCTGTCAGCTTGAACAGACATCTTGTCGTGATACCGAGGCTTCTTTTATATCACGCACCACGAGAGAGAGAGAGAGAGAGAGAGAGAGAGAGAGAGATGAAGCCTAGATACATTAATATTGAAGTTAATTCGTTGAGAGTCGCGTTTGCAGCGCGCCCTGAAAGCTACCGTCACGTGCCAAACAAAGCCAAATAATCTCCAATTTCAGGACTATATAAAGGACAGCCTTTGACTCGGAACCTCACCCTCTTCATAGCAGCTCGAGACCGACACGCTCGCCACGCACTCCCGGTGTTTGGGCGCCGAGGACATTTGCGGGTGGGAAAGTCTGAGTATTTTAATCCCCGCGGCTCTGTTATTACTGGACTTGGCTGTCTGTAAACGGACCACGAAATCGTCTCGGGTCTCCTTTTGCCTGAAGACCTGCCATGGCAGCGAAGGTCTGCAGGACTTGGAGCCGTTGTGGGGACGGGGTGCTCCGTCCGTCGCTTCTCCATCTCGTCTATTCCAATCGACCGCTTGTGGTGCTCTCCACGGAACGCAGGGGAAGATCAGTGTCCCGAGGTCCTGAGTACGCCTCAGAGTAGTACGTAGGAAGGATGATGGGCTCTTCCCCCCGATGTGTTGCTGGAGGAGGGGAGGGGTGATTCCCTCTCCCGCCGCGACTCATGGCCTGCGCGTAGCGGCCAGCCGTGAGGCCCTACCCCGTAAACTGCACCCAACAACTTTGACGCGTCTGCTCGACGTGGATAAGAACTTACGCATCATGAAGCCCACCGGCACGGTGCCGGCTGCGAGCTCGCAGTTCGCGCCGTGCACGATCACTGGCCTTTTCGAGGTGGCACTAAAGAGAAAATCTATCGAGCATGCGGAGAGCGGAGCGGGTCAGCGCCCGTTCGAGCAGGCCGAACTTATAATCGAACTTGAACCTCGGACGGACGATGTTCCTAGGCCGTTGGGACAAGTTCACTATCAGCAGTACAGAGCGAGGCTTCCTCGCCCACTCGTACGAACACGAACTACGAAAAATGGACGAGGTTTCCTAGCCCGTCCGCATGGACATGGAATATACCGAGCGAGGTGCCTATGCCCATTCGTATCAGCCCGTCCGCGAGGACATCTAATATACCGAGCGAGGTTCCCAAAGCCTCGTTCGTCTACATATACAAATATCACCGAGCACGGCTCACCAGCCTGTTCGGGCGACTTCTGAGGGACCGCGGCACGAGGGGAGGATGGGATGGAGACGACGGAGGGGCGCTCTTGAGCTTAGTCGTTGGTGCACGTTCTAGGACGTGTAACTCGACTCAGACTACTCTTGGGCTGCTCCAGCAATTTTTGGAACCCGCATTCTTATGGAGGCGTTGGATGTGTCTCTTTGGAGACAGGTGCGCATTTGTCTCGTAGAGATTGCATCAATCGATCGTGCAGCCGTCGATGGTGCATACACGGTGTCTCCCTTGAGGCATTTGTTGTCTGCTCCGTCGTCGCTCTGTTTGTTGTGCGTGCCTTGTGGTGAGTTGTACCTACATGATGTTCATCCTTATCTTTAGTGCCACCCCAGCCGCATCATTATCAAGTCACCATCTGAGACTGCTCGCAGTCCTCGATCCGTCCGTTGCAGGTATCTTGCACTTCTTGGTGTCAATGATTATCTTTTGTGCCCACTGTTTACCGAGACTAAGCGCGAGTGTTCCCTCTGGGCTTCTAGGGTCTCGTATATCTCACTTAGGCTGTGCACGGAGACATCCGTCTGAGCGGCCTTCTTGTGTTGGCCTGACATTATCATGGCGCCGCGGCCGGTTGTCAACCTAAGTATGTGCCATCCTTCTGTCACTGGGATCAGCAAGATTAGTGTTCATCTCGTTGTTCATTCCCGCGAACCTGGCCGGAGGTCCTCGAGTTAAGGTTGGCGTGTATGTCGCCCACCGCTGGCCGCTATCCTTCGTCTCGTTTCGTCTTTCGCTAACTTTGGGGCACATCCGGGTCGAGAAGCACCGACTCTACTCAGGGCATTCATCTTCGTATTGTACCTCCATGCTGAAAACCCTGCTGAGGAAGTGGGCTTATCTTCTTGTTTTCTCATTGCCCTGCCGTTGTGTATTGCTCGATGCTAGTTTTACCGGCCCGCGCCGACGTTGACTGCCCTGAATGGAGGTGATGCTAGCTTTGAAGCCGAATGTCGGTAACCGATCTTTGGCCCGCGAGATACGCCACGCCAAAGTCACAGCGTGTCACTAGCGCGTCCACGAAGGCGTCTCGAGGATATATAGCGCGCTGCAGAAGAGAACAAAAGGACTGCTGCGCTGGTCTGCCATAAGATCTCTCTCGCGACAAGGCTTGTATGGTTACAGTCCTACGGGACCGTCGGTGGTTATCAAAGGATTATCTTAGCTCAGCTCAAACAAGGCAGCATTGCTTCGAGTCGCAGGGATGAGAAAAGTGATCTGAAGGATCAGGAGCGTGGCTGCTCCGAAGCTCGATCAACAAGGATACAACGCATCTGCAATGAGTAGGCTCGAAAGCCTGGAAGCCACCGTAATGTTAATACACCAAATAATGCCAAATAATATGCAATTTCGCGAGGCTTAAGGACGGTCTTTGTTCACGTCCACCCTCGTTATCTTCGCATCAGCTCGAAAACCGACAGGCTCGCCCCGCACACCTGACGCTCTGGCGTCCAGGCCATTCGCGAGCGGGAAGGTCTGAGTCTGCTAATCCCCCTAGATCGGTTCTAGCCGGGCCTGGCTGTAAGCAGCTGAACGACGGACCAGAAAATCGTCCCGGGTCACCTTAGGCAGGGCCGATTTGATGACATCATAACTTGTATAGCCCATAAATGTGAGGGACTTAAAGGACTAGATAGACCACATCTGGCCGATGTATCCCTATACAGTCCCTAAATAGCTGGCCGTCCGAATCGCGTGGTATCTGCACTATATGGAGAGGCTCCGGCGATGGCGCTGGAACGCTGGCACGGGGCTGCTAATAGATGCTGATATATACATTTATATGCACATTTACATGGATTTCCGGCCGTAGGGATGTCTCAACATCAGCCTAAGTTGGGGATGTCAAACAGATCTCGTGCTGATGTCTCGCCGATGCCGCCGCCGGGCGCGCATCCGAGTCGGACGTCGGACAGCGTGATCTTGATGCGCTTGATGGTGGTCCCACGCCTGCCTCTTTTGGTAGGCATCCCATTGTGGATGCCAATCCTGATGGTTGCACGAAGCCATCGTCTGCATTGCGCCTGCTCTGCCCTGTATATCGTATATATGTACTACTTATACTCATCTATGTATCATTACTCCCCCAAAGCTGTTTGACCAGTAATTAATTGTGCTAGAGGAGAATGTAGGTGCATCAGGACAAAGCTGGTGAGTAGTAAAGGCTACCCGCCTGCAAGGAACCCCCTGCCATGTGTCTGCTTAACATCGCAGAACCGGGGATGACCTGAGGCATCCGCTAGCGCGATTCGTCGACATCCGTCTGTCCAAATATGCTGGATTTCATACGGTGGCTGAACCAGTATTGATGGTCACTTCACACATTTAGAATGCAATAGGTCACGAATCACTGTCAAAAAGGCTGTATAAGACCACTTCATAAGTATTAAACCCAGCTACACAGAAGCGACCAGTTCTTCCTGTGAAACCGCGCCAGGACACACTCGATACTATGTAATGTACACTATGCAGCTACGAGTCTTGTGCATAGTGAGTGTACAATCACGCCCACTGGTTGCGGCACTTCATCGCCGCGGGAGATGAGCATCGTCGCGGCTTGGGAGTATTGGGGGGTCTTTTAAATAGATTTCCCCCTTGCCACAGATGTCCTCTGAGACCGAACCGCGGCTCTATAACATCAATGAATTGGTGCTTATTGCTATTCGTTCTCTGATTGGCCAGAGAGCCCCTCTCGGCTGTCTCCGAAGATGGGTGCGATGCATCTGCTGCGTATATGCATACCGCCATATTAATTGCGACGCTGGAGATAAAACCGTCTCCCGTACCATCACTTGTTTCCTCTACACTAGGGCAAAAACTGGGGGATACATGCATTTGCCCATGATATGCCCATCCGTGTAACGATGTGTGATACCCGGCTAATTGATATTTATCATATTATGACGGAATAACAGCTATCCCCACCCTGTAAATGATCACATACCCCGAGCTGTGGTGGGTAAAACATGGTAGTCATTCATGCAGAATTATTGCAGGGAGAATTGCCTCTTCTGATACGTCTCCAAGCCATCTCGAGATGGTCTGCAAGAGCCTCTGGCGATGAACTGCAGAGGTTATTGAATTCTCACGCATTTGAATACATCTAAATTTGGATTAAAGGGAGAAGCATCGGGCAGATGAAGCCTACCTAGTCCTTTAGGTCCTTCACATTAATGGGCTATCTAAGTTATTATGTCATCAAATCGCTCCTGCCTAAGGTGTCCCGGGTTCCCTTTTGCCTGCGGACCCGCTCTGGCGGCGAAGGTGCAGGAGATCTAGGATTCGCAACCGTCGAGGGGATCGGGTGCTCCGTCCGTTGCTCGTCCGTCTCGGTTCTCCCGATCGGCCGCTTGTAGTGCCCTCCGCGGAACGCAGGGGAAGACTAGGGTCCCGGACTCCTGTACACCTTAGGGTCCGTGGGAGGACGGACTCTTCCTTGGCTGTGTTCCTGGAGGGGGGAGGGGGGGGCAATGCCCTCTTTCACTGCGATGACTGGTTTCCCATCGATGACCATCCCGTGGACTGACTCCTCATCACGCCGGCACCACCTAATGGATCGTCGACCCTCGGAACGCGCGCGCGCGCAGACCCCGCGCGGGCAACGCTACAAGCGTGCGCAAACAGTATTACCCGTACTGCCTCGACGCCGATACGAGGACGAGGCGCGCCAGCCCGTCTGTCTGCCCAAGCTGAAAACCGCACGAGGCGTACTAGCCCGGCGCTGCCTCTGAGACACGGAGCAGACACCAGACGAAGCCGACCAGCGCTCGGCCGAAACTTGGCATCCTCATGAAACTAAACAGGCGGGGCCGACCAGCCCGTTTGCACGAGACGATCTACCGAGCGAGGCCGACCAGCCCGTTCGGGTGCGCTTCCGAGGGTCCGCGGTACGAGGGGAGGATGGGATGGAGACGACGGGGGAGCCGCTCTTGAGCTCAATCGTCGGCGCACGTTCTAGGACGTGCAACTCGATTCAGACTACTCTTGAGCTGCTCCGATAATTTTTGGAACTTATTCGTCCTTTCGGGGATGGTTGGGTCGCGCCGCTTCGGAGGTGTGCGCTGTGTGCGCTTGGCTCATTGGGATTGCCGCGCGCTCGGTCGGCCGCTGACAACTCGGCGAAGGTGCCTCCTTCGGGGTATCCGTCGTTCGTGCTGTCGACGTGGCTGCCGTCGATGTCCCGCGATGAGCTGGATTGTGGCGCTCAGACTCATCGTGGATGCCAATCCCAAGTGTATGCGGTCCGGACAGGTGGTTGGCGTTGCTGCCTGAGTCTGGATGGAGACTGTTCGAACTCGTCCGTTGGAGGTGTCTTGCGTCCGTTGGTGTCGTAGCTCGGCCTACCAGTGGACGCGCTGGTGCAACCGTACGTGTGTGTGTACCCTGTCAATCGCTAATATTGCCCCTGTCGACGCCGTCTCCTTGCCCCGCCTTGTTCGTATCATGGTGGTTGTGGACATACACTAACATCTCGCGTCGTGGCTCTAGACATCTCACTGAGGGATTGATGTTTTTGTCCCTGTCCATTGCTCATGCTTCAAGGCTGCACGTCCTATCCCCACTCCATCCGTGTGTTGGTGAATATATGTATTGTACACATTGCGCTTCGAAGCTGAGGGGGCGGGACCGACCGACCGACTGCGCGCATATGCAAGCGATGCGAGACGTGAAGGCGCTGGTCGCGGCTCCGCTGGCCGGCGGACTTTCTCCCGCGACATATGCGCAACCACTGGCGATCGACCGTCGGGCTCGCTGAGGCGTCTTGCGAATACGCATATATATGAAAGAGGCGTAGCCGCATAGGGCGAAAGCCGGGACTAGTAGGATGCGAGGGACAAGGCCAGTCGCTGGTAGAAAGGGTCCCAGCCTGCATAGCATAAGTGTATCGTCAGCGCAGAAATCGCAGAAGCCCCCGCCTGCAAGTGCAAGCTGGGTGGGGCGCGAGGCGAGGCGAGCGATTCCGTATCACAATAAAAGTTTGGGTTGTGAAGTACTCACGCGCAGCAGATGGGGGTGTGCAAGTGTGTATGCGGCAGGGGATGGTGTCTGTCCCCCGGGTCGGGTGAGTGGTGCGCCGGCGGCGACGCCGGAGTCGATGCGTGGGAGGGCACGCGGGCGGTCGCCTGTTCAGTTGGCGCACATAGCGGGTCCATCCTGGACGCGTAGGAGCGTCCCCGGCTCGGGACGTGCAGCTTTGGAGTCGCGCCCTCCCGTGCTCAAGTCGATATGCGGGGGACGGAACAGGCAGGGGATCTGGGCGCGGCGTGCCCTGGGTAGCGGAGCGGAGTGTTCGCGTCTTATGTGAGTATGATACTGGCTGTGTGGAAGTGGCAGGCCCCGTCCATTGTGCGATGAGCGCGCAGTCCTTTGTGGCTTTCGGGCGGCAGCGGTGTTTTCTCTCGCTGACCCGCGCAGCTGCAGGCTGACATGGGGGGGAACACAGCGTCATACCATGACAAGTGCGTAGATCACAGGTATGGAGAGGTCCGGAGGACGATGTGTTGTGTGGATCCCTATGCCCAGGGGACGCGCTGGGCTGTGATTTAAGGGAGCGGAAGACATTCCTCGGGGTCTGAATGTTGCACAGATATCAGTGCAGAGTCGGGAGAGGTGACGCAGACTGAGATCTGGCGATCGATCGCGGTCACAGCGTGACACCATCCATTTACGTACGGTTCACTTCAGTCCGTCCTCCCGCCTTTTATTCACGAAACATCACGGCTAGTATCATGTCCCAACCGCACTACCAGAAACAACAGCAGCAGCAGCAGACAGCTCCAGGGCAAGCATATCCTCACGTACGCGGTCCTCCTTTCTTGCACCAGTAAACACTAATTGCAATCTAAATTGCGCAGGGTCATGCCCAACAAGCATACCAGGGCCAATACGCGTACCCTCAGCAGCAGTACGGGCACACCTACCCAGCCCCCCCGCGGACCCAGTCCTTCCCCCCGCCTCAGGCCCAGGGCTACCCGCACGCCCAGTACCCCGCGTACAACTACCAACAACAGCACGCTTACGGCCCGCCTTCCCCGCAGGGGCAGGCGTACGCACAGCCTGCGTATCAGCAACAGGCGTACCAGAACCAGCACGTGCCGCCCTCGCCGACCCAGGTCTTTCCGCCCTCGCCGTCCCAGCCTGGGTACCCGGCTCAGCCTCAGCAGCAGCACCAGCGGTCCCCGAGCCAGGCGTTCCCGCCCTCGCCGTCCCAGCCTGGGTACCCCGCTCAGCCACAACCTCAACAGCAGCACCCATACGTGCCTCGCTCCCCGAGCCAGGTCTTCCCGCCTCCACCATCGCAGCAATACCCGAGCCAGCCCCAGCAGCAGCGGCCTCCTAGCCAAGTCTTCCCGCCTTCACCGTCACAGTCATACCCCAGCCACCCCCACTACCAACCTCAACCCCAGCCACCCCAAACGCACGCGTACTACCACCCCCAACCTCAACCCCGCCCCTCCCCGCCGCCCACCGCCTCCGCCTCGCCCACGCGCAGCTTCCCCCCGCCGCCCCCGCACCCGCAGAGCCCCAACAAGCACTCCTTCTCCTCTCTGCCGTCGTCGAGCCCCCCGAAACCTCCGCCTGCACCTTCTTCGAGCCCGCCGAAGCACTCCCGCAGCGTCCCGCCCACGCCGACGTCCCCCACGCCCGCGCCCCGCTCCTCGCGCCCGCGCCCGCTCCCGCAGCCCGCGCCGCTCCACCCCCACCCTCTCCCTCAACCCCAGTCCGCCCCGCACCCGCAAGCCCTCGTCCAATCATACACCACCACCCCCACCGCTCCTCCCCAGCCCCCACCCCAACCCCGGCGCCCGCTCCCCATCCCCATCCCCATCCCCACATCCCCGCCCCTCCCACGCTCGACCAAACATCTCTCGCTCGACCTGCCCGCGTCGCAGCTGCAGTCCCGCGTCCTCGCCGACGCGCGGGGGACGCAGGCGCTGCCCGCGCTCCAGGCGGGGCGCTTCACGCCCTTGTGGAAACAACGACAAGCGCAAGCGCAAGCGCACCCCACCCCGCGATCCCAGTCGCAGATCGGGGCCTCCCCTGCGTTGGAGAGGAGCAAGACCGTCGTGGGCGGCGGGGGCGGGGGGCGGCCGTTGCCCGTCCCCGTCCCCGTCCCACACGCACACAGCAACACCAACACCAACACCAACACAAGCCCCGCCGCGAACGCGAACGCGAACTCAGCCGCAGGGCCGAGTACAAGCGCGATGAGAGACCGCGCGCGCACGCTGCCCACCGCCCCCGGCGTGCCCTCGCCGTTCAAGGGGAACGGGGCGGGCGGGAATGGGGCGGGCGGGAATGGGGCGGGCTCCCCATTTGTTTCGCGCGCAGGGTCGCCGACGAAGACTGAGTACGCGCCGTCGCCCACGAAAAGCGAGTACGCGCCGTCGCCGACGAAAAGCGACTTCTCCCCCGCTCGCGCGCCGTCCCCCGCCCTCTCCTCCCGCCCGCCCTCGGCCCTCTCCTCCCGCCCGCCCCCCGCCCCCTCCTCGCGTCCCCCCTCGCCTGCGAAATCGGACGCGAGCCCGCAGTACGGGATCCTGGACATGCCCCGGCGGCGCGGGCGGGGGTGGCAGGCGGAGGAGGGGTGTGCCGCGTCCTCTCCTGCAAATACGAACGGGGGCGGGGACGCGGGCGGGGGCGGGGATGTACAGGCAAGCGCGACCGCGAACGGGGACGGGAACGCGAACGGGGTTGCACAGGCAAGCGCGACCGCGAAGAGCCTCGCGCTGCGCATGGCCGAAATGAGCCTCACGCGCTCCGAGCCCGTCCCCGCGTCCGCGCAGAGGCCTGTGTTCACGCGGGCGGCGACGGGCGTTGCGGGAGGGGAGGGCGAGAGGGAGAGGGCGGCGGGCGGACGGTGGCCCGCGGGGCTGCCGCGGTTGCCGAAGGCGCCGGGGGAGGTCGGTGGTGGTGGTGGTGGTGCTGAGAGGGCGAGCGCGGATGGGGGGAGTGGTGGCAGGGATGGGGATGACGGGATGCGCGTGAACGCGAGGAGACCAAGGATCGAGTTCCGGGAGGGGTGGGATGGGAGCGGGAGCGAGAGTGGGAGCGAGGAGGGGATAAGTGTGTCTGCGGAGGCGGGGGCGGGGGCGGGGGCGGTGGGGGTGGGGGTGCCGAGGACTAACTTGCATGACGATAGGCCCGCTGTCCCGAGGATCCATATGCCCGACGAGAGCCCGTCCGTCCCCAGTATCAACTTCCCGGACGACGACGAAGGAGCGGGTGGAGGGCCCGTGATCAGAGTGGACGCGCCCGGCGTACCCGTCGTCGACGAGCCCCCCTCCCAATCCCCGTCCCAGCAACCCCATACCCCGTCCACCCACCGACCCGCGCGCAAGCTCCTCCCGCACAACTCGCCGCTGACGTGCCCGAGCTGCCTGAAGCCGATCGTCGGGCGCACGGTGAACGCGATGGGCGCGCGCTGGCACCCGGGCTGCTTCCTCTGCGAGGGCTGCGGCGAGCACCTCGAGCACGTCAGCGCGGCCGAGGGCGGCGGGCGCGTGTGGTGCTTCGTCTGCTGGAGCGAGGTGAGTACCGGTGTCCATGTTACGAGGTGAGGGGAAGGAAGGCTGATTGATTGCGGTTTGCGATTTGCGATTTGCGATTTGTGATTTGTGATTTGTGCGTGTGCTACAGCAATTCGCGCCGCGGTGCTACCACTGCCAGACGCCGATCGTCGAGGAGCGCTTCATCACGCTGGACGACCCCGCGCTGGGCAAGCGCGTGTACCACGAGCAGCACTTCTTCTGCGCCGAGTGCGGCGACCCGTTCCTCGACCCGTCGCTCGCGGACGTCGTCGTCAGCGGCGACGGCCATTTTGGCGGGGCCGAGGGCGGCGCGGGGTTCATCGTGCACAAGGGCCACCCGTACTGCGAGGAGTGCCATGTGCGCTTGAGGATGCCAAAGTGCAAGCGCTGCAGGAAGAGTATTCGGGACGGGATGGAGGCGGTGGAGGCGCTCGGGGGGAAGTGGTGCTGGGAGTGTTTTGTTTGTGCGGTGAGTGGATTGGCTTGCTTGAATTTCTTGGGGGCGGGGGGCTGATGGTGGGTTTGGTCTGGTAGAGCTGCGAGAGGCCGTTTGAGGACCCGAGTTATTTCGTGAGGGACGAGAAGCCGTTTTGTGAGCGGTGTTTCTCGATTATGGTCAGGAACGAGGTGTAAGGTGCGCTCGAGTCTCTTTCGTCTCTTGGCTGGCCTAGTTCTCAACCGTTATATCTCTTGCAGGATCCAGACATCCTAGTCGCCGAAGAGAACTGGCTGCTCGGCATGATGCTTTCTGTTGCTGTTCTTGCATTGACCATCAACATACCCTCAGATGTATCCTTATATCTTGCTTGTAGCTCTCCCAGCCTGTACTGTCCGCTTGCTGCGCTCATTATTGACATTGATATGACTTCCAGACTTGTTGCGCGGGTTGACCTCAAGTTATTTCTGTACAGACTTCCACAGATGTCATCGAAAAGAGACTTTGATCGCCACCCTGCCGCTGCAGTGATTGGACTGCGCACGGTTATGGCACCGACCTAGGCCTGCTCCCTGCGAAAGCGGGTACAAATAATCGCCGGAGTGGAGGATGTAATGCCTACTCAGCGATTCCTGTCAACTAACTGCATCCTAGATGTTGGCCCCCGTGAAAGCTCACTCGACGGAGGAAGTCCCACTTCTACCTACACCCGATGACCCTGGCCATGACGGAGATGCTTGGGAAGAAGCCAGAATCCAAGCTCAGCTGGAATCTGACTTGTTGCAGAAGCTAGACAAGAGGATGGTGCCGTTCAGGATACTGTCCGTCCTCGCACACGTAAGTGCACCTGTTTCTATGGGTCATCAGCTGTAGTGACGACCAGAACTAGCTCGCCCGCAACACTGTCTGGTGGGTGGTCAACGGCCCTAACACGGAGAGCACTGTGTAACATCTTGTTTGCTTCAGCATCGCGGCTTTGTTTGGCTTCCAGGAGGCGTTGAACCTGACTCCGGTCAAGTTCTTCCTCGTGATAGCGGCGTACCACCTTGGACAGATGTATGCCTGGGCCCTCAGTGCGCTCTTACGGGACGACGCACGCTGGCCATACTATCACACTAGCTGGCTTGCTCGACTGGCTCGCGAAAGGCCTGTCGTTGGTCCGGTATCTGCCCTAGGAATCGGCGCCTCCTCTGTTTTGATGGGTAAGCACGACCGTCCTCGTTAAAGCAGCTGACTCATCCGTACATGCAGGCATATCAGAAACGTGCGTCTCGCTCCCTCGTCATGACGTTTTCTGCTCAGACGTTCGCAGGTTCACGCAAGCATGTCTCGCTCGCGTCGTGCTAGGGTTCTCCGCCGCGATCTTCTGGGCGAGCCAGGTTGAGTTGAAGAAAGAGTGGTATAAGCGGGAGCCGCCCGCTCCTTCAGCACACATCGTGCCTCTATCGCATTTCGTTGGCCTCCTGGCAGCGGCTGTGGTGGTTTCTACAAGGCCGGATGCTGCCAGCGAGATGGTCATCTGGAAGTAAGGACGTTACACATGGCCTAGGCCGGGCGGGTGCATGCTGACCGCCGCCTTCAGGCGTCTATTCTACTTGCATTCAGCCCTTACTACCAGTTTCGCACTCTACGCATGGTACCGACTTCCTGATCTACCTGAGTCCGCCGCGTGGCTCTCACAGCCCGAGCGAGATCTCATAAAGAAATGGAGCGCTGACAGACAGCAACTTGAGGAAGTACGGCCAGGTACAGAGACAGACATAGATGCTACGGGCGACAGCACGCCATGGTACAGGCGCAGACACCCTGTGCTGAAGATGGTCTTCCTTGGATGCTGTCAAATCGCAGTGTCTCAGCTTCGGTCTTTCGAGACGTTCTGGCCCTTGATATTCTTCTCAGCTGTCCCCATCGACAAGCTCAACGGGGTTCACTTGTTCCTGAGTAGTTCTGCCTGGGCAGTCCCCGCACAAGTGACTCTGCTGTTCTCGCGGTACGTAACACATCGATCTACGGTATACTTTGAGCTTTAAGCTGCTATTTCTGCTAGACGCTGGAGGAGACTTCAAACTACCCCACTGAAGCACTTCCTGAAGGACATGTCTATGACCTTTGCTATATCGATCTTCACCGCAGGGCTTGGCTTCAATTTTCCCGTCTTCACTGAAGACAAAGGGTTTAGGGTGGCTTATATGTGAGCAGGTCTGTGGCCAGCTCAGGTCGTATCGCTCACCTGCGTCGCAGTTTTATGATCCCGATGGTGTACATCGCAAAGGTTCCGTATGATACCATCTATGCGGCCGGTGCAGCCGGACTAGCTTCCTCCATTTCGCCGTGGCAACGACCACTCGCGCTGCTTTACCTACAGTTATGTTCTATCGTCGGGACAATCTTGGGATAGTAAGCACCTTCCCCCTACAGTGCAGCAGCGTATTGACTGTCAACCTCAGCTTTATCTGGATCGTCGGAAACGATAGGCCTTTCTACAGCAGGGGCGCGGCTTCTTCCGCGGGCGGCATAGGCCTTGTTGTGCTTGCCTTTGTGTGGTGGTATGACGAAGCTTTGCAAGCTATGCTACGGAAGAGCGCAAGCAGCATATCTGCTGAGACTCCGAGCGCTGAGGGGCGCACGGATACAGATGATTCTCAGCAAAGAGTGTAGCTCAAATTTTCTGATACAGAGACTGCCGACCCCCTTGTAAGAGCCAGATATTCAAGTTATGTGTGTACCATTACATGTACGACGTACTATGCAGATAAAATTTGTATAGTGATCAGGTAGTGTTTGGTGTTGGATACTCATGATACAGGTGATCATGAGATGTCCCGATGGGCACGACATTCATTTCTCTCCTAAAAGTACATCAAGCAGCCTTAGTCTGCTCAAAGTGTAGCGGACCTGAATTGGATGTAACAGCAGGAAAAGGTACTAGAAGACAGCGATATCGAACACATGTGGTCAGCGACGATGCATACGTCAACCTATGAGAGTATGCAGAGCATATTTAGACAGAGGGGTGAGAACATGCAGCACAAGAGCAGACCCGAAGGTTTACACAACAGCGCTAGAAAGCAATAGCAAGAGTCTTAGCGGACCAGAAAGGAGGGCAGTTGAATCACGGGCAAGAGCTTCGGTCTCGTCCTTCTGCGGCGCGCCTTCTGGTAGACCTAGTGGTGTGCTAGATCCCCATTCCTGTTAAAGCAGCGAGTGCTAACTTGACCCTGTTCACGAAGTCGCCAAGACGCTGTCGAGTTTTCTCTTTAAAAGAGGAAAAGGCCAATGCGCAAGTTAGCATATACCCGGCAGGATGGAATTCGGACGACAGGTGACCAGAATATCGGCCTACCGATGAAGGTGAGAGGCGATGGTAGAGACATGCCTTGTTCACTTTCGAGAGTCATGATCGAGTTGATTTCTTTTTCCAGAGATTCCAGGTTTTCGTTCGTCTCGAATGCAGGTCGAGCCGTGGACCATGCGTGGAACTCGATCGTCAGGTCAAGCAGCATTTTGTTCAGTTCTGCGACTAAGTCAGAGTTTCTCTGAAGGGCAGTGGGATATATGCATAGATCGCCGTGTATGCATTGAAGCCTTGGAGGCCTCTGCGCTTACTTTCTCGGAATTCCGCTTCCCGTTTGTTTTCCTCCTCGAAGGGGTCTACGATAGTCGTCCGGTGATCGAAAGGTTCGAATTGTTCTTGTACAACTTCTGCAACTGAGCGCTGCTGCGAACCACTGCCATAGGGACCAGCCGACGGTCCAGGCGCTGGTGAAGACAATCTCGGGTTCGGGCGGCCTTCGCGGAGCGGTGATGGCGAATGGATGGAGCGTTCATGATCCGGGGAGGAGTTGTCACGACTTGTCGCCATTCCTTTCAGTGCTCCAGGGAGGAATAGGCGTAAGAAGTTCGAGTTGGTCCGTAGAGTAAATCGACAGGAAAGAGTCCGAGAGCACGTCTCTGCACGTCGCGTCACAAAGTCGCGTCCAAATACAACGCCCCGTCGGTCACTGTGTCACACTCGCGCACGTCTTGGGGACTTGCAAATCGATTCTTGCAGGAAACGTCTGATATAATGGACAGCGTGTTGATTATGGTAAGAAAATCGTGAAATTTGTCCATCTCCCGGAAGTACATGTCCCACCCCTCAAGTATTGACATTATAAACGACATATGCTCACCGAGGAGCAGGTAGTCCAGAAGCAGGAGCACCTAACTCTGTTAGCTGGAGGAGGGCATCCAGCTTGCCAGCAAATTCGGGAAGATATGCTGCATCCGTGTACGGACACCGCACCGAAGAAGATCCCTTGTATATCGGCGTATACGTCGCTGCGCAGATCTCGAACTCGGTGAACTGGTCGTAGTCGACCTCCACAGCGTCTCTAGGATTCCGTTCTCCAGCGGCAATCCGTTGGCGAGCCTAGGATACCATGAGAATAAGTTTACCCAAGGTGAATGAATGAAACTTACGTTAGCTGCAATCTTGGGATCCGGATTCAAGTCCAACAACCGTCTCGCAAACTTGGCTGCAGTGCCATTGTTGTTGGCCTTCGAGAAAATCAGGATCGCACTTCGGAGGGCAATCTGCAGGTGCGGAGGCTGCAGCTGGCAGTGAGTGAAGTACGCAGCCAGTTCAAGATTTCTCTTCGCGTTGCTCGGATCCTCAGCAATCACTCGCCGACGCTCCAGCTCAATAGACACACCCAGCAAATATTCGCGGGCCATCGTCACAAGGTCTCGCCACTGGCCAGCAATGTCAACAATATGCACCCTGACGTGAGTATATGCTCACCTCTTTTGCCTCCTTGTCTGACGATACGGCAACAAGGAGCAGCTCGTACAGAACCGATCGGTAAATGCTCTGAGCCTCCGGTAGCTTGCTGCCGGATAGCGCTCGGAAACCCTCCGTGAGCTCAGCACGGATTGACTGCAACGTGCGAACCGCGACAGGCAAAACGCGGCTGGGCGAAGATTCGGAAGGATTGCGACGTATATGCAGCTGCAGTGGCGGAAGGGTGCCAAGCGGGGAGAAGTATGCGTGTGACGAACGATACGTCGACAAGAACAGGGGTTTCAGTAGCGAGAAGTTGACAACGCCGAATTGCCTGTGAAGAAGCTAAGGGAGCCCACACATCAATCCTGGTCAATTAAGCCTACGACGTCGACTTACCTGCATTGCCGTGTCAAATGATCCTGCTGCAACGTGGTCAGCAGCGAAGGGTGAGTTGCGAGTCCATATTTCTGTCTCGCTGATACCGGGGGTAGCACCCGCGCCAAGATCGGCGACCTCAGCAGGAGCTTCTTCCTCCTCAGCGGCGATAGGCTCAGCATCTTCCCCACCAGCATCAAGGTCCCAACCGCCCTCATCGATCTCCTCCGGAATCTCCTCTTCCCGTGCCCACTCATCCAATGCAGCCGAGGCCGCGGCTCCAGCCCCAACGGCATCGCCATTCGTGTACGGAACTTCAACACCTTCCAGCCCGTTCGCAAGCGCCTTGTCCCAGAAACTTTCGCCAGCAGCAATAGATGGCCAGTTCAACGCAGCAGTCGGTGTGATCACGGGCGGCAGCTGCAGTGTCGAGCGGCCAAAGTCTGGGACATCATCGACGTCTGACTCGCTTAGTCCGGCTGCCTCCAGGATCTCGCTCGCGACTTCGTCCAAGCCATTAGTCTTCGCGGTCAGATACGCTAGGGGATCTATAGAGGAATGTCAATACCTCCCTCTATCGCAAGATGATGACAATACACACGAAGCCCGACATCCTTGAGGACGTTGATGCGACCCAAAACATCGCCAGCATACAGCGCATTCTGGAATCGAGACATCGGGTCGCCTCTGGCGTCCGCTATTTTCTGCATCTTGGATAACTTTTCGGTGCTGCCCGTGATAAGATACAAGAAAGACAGATTCTCGAACTTTTTCGTCTGCTGGTAGGCCTTCTCGACAATCTATCACGACCGTCAGCAGACAGCCCGATCTCCCAGATGTACGGTGCCCTGACCTTGTGGTTGCCTTGCTTCAACGCCTGCTGAGCGAGTCTCTCCCAGCATTCGGGCCGGTCGATCGCTTTTGCCATCTCTGACGCGACCTCAAGATTGCCGCATTCGATAGCAAGGTCGAAGCGGGTCTTTTTATCTTCCACGAAATGGAGGGCAATCTAATCGTATGTCCTCGGTAAGGATGGATTGCAGTAATGATACTCCGTGCTTACCTCCGGGAAGCCCTTCTGCTGAAGGTAAGCAATTACACTCTGTCCTATGAGATTAGAAGTGCGGATGATATACAGCATTTCCTCGTGGTTGTTCTTGATTAAAGCGAGCTTGAAGCGATATTCAGTGGGATCGAATGTGATGGTACGAGGTCGGGCAGAGCGGTCCAAGCAGTGAATCGTCTTGCCTTTCACGCGGGTGAGGTAGACAGGGTTGTCCAGTGTGCAGATAACGCCGTGGTCACTAGTACGATCTTTGTTTAGACGACTTTAACAAACAAATATTGATGATGCACTGACCCTTGCGCCAGACAGTACTTTATGTGGTTCAAGGTGGAGTATATGAAGACACCGGCATCATCCCATGCACCAGACTTGATGCGGATTGTCTCGTGAATGAGGCAATGTTGGGAGAAATTCCTGTTGGCGATGGTGATGGCTAGGATAGTCCGTTTGAGAGAGGATAAAACGGTTGATAGGAGCACGTACTGTGCTTGCTGAGGAGGGCTACGAGCGAGCCATCGGCATTCCATACAACATATTTGACCGGGGGAGTGTTCACTTCGGCGATTACTTTCTGCTGCTGTATGTCGTATAACACAACGGAAGCCGTCGAACTGAGAATCAAACTCGCAGTCCCACCGTAGAAGATCTCATTGGTCTGCACAGGAGGCTTGATGCTCTTGACGATGGAGTTCGATAAGTCTCGGACCTCGATGAGCTACAGAGGAGACTGATGATTAAGTTCCAGGTTCCACAGCCGTTACGCGCGTGGGACGCACCTGGGTCGTCTTGTTCAAGACAGCAAATCTATTCCTGGCAACGAATATTGCACTATTTCCACTACCCCTCTTGCCGTCAACCGAAGAATCCTTAACTTCACCGACCACGTTCGTCGGCAAACTCGCCAATTCGTACAAGCCGTTATCTGAAGAGACGGTGACCAAAACCGCGCGCTCAGCAGGATTGAAGCTCAGGGTCCTCGGTGGGACATATGGACTACCGAATTTGCGGACACTCAAGAGACCGATGTCAGACCCCGTGTTGAGGTCGTAGGAGCGCACGTATTTGTCCCGGATGTAATACAGGGTATCGCCATGTAAAGCAAACGGCGGGCGCTCCCGCTCCAACTTGAATACGATTAGACCATTATCGTGACCTGACGAAACAGGAACATTGGGATACGTAGTGCATTAGACGGATGTCATAGACGCTCACCGGCTGCAAACAGATTCAGGTTCGGATGGGCGGCCAAGAACCAGAACCGGTCATGTTCCCTCCGGAACGTCTGGATCGCCGTTCGCTTTGCCAGATCCCAGACGCGGACAGTCTTGTCCTCACCACAAGACACGATCAATTCGTGTTTAGGGTGGAACACGGCACAAGAGACATTGTTGAAGTGACCACGGCAGGCGTCCACCTCCCAAGCTTTCGTCTCGCTCATCCGCCAGATTTTGATTTGCCGATCGTCAGCAGCTGAGATGATCAAGGGCAGGGTCGGGTGGAACATGGCGAAGTTAACGCCTCGATCGTGGCCCTCCATCACGTACTTGACCGTCGAGAAGTTGTCAAAGGTGTCGAATGTGCCGGGGGCTGCGTTGCTGTTTGGAGTACTCTTTCGCAAACCTGAGATATCCCAGACTCGCACAGTTTGGTCCATTGAAGCAGACACGATCAGATCCTCTTTGGGATGGAAACGAGCGGAAAAGACATAATGAGAGTGACCAGTTAGGATGGCAATGCAGTTTCGCGAGGTGCTGTTCCATATACGAATCGTTTGATCGTCTGAGCAGGAGAGCTAGAACAGGGGTGTCAAAATGGGCTTAAGTTGTCTTCAGGGATACATACAATCCAAGGCATTTCGTGATGAAACTGGACTGAGCGGACGTAGTCCAGGTGGCCATGGAGTGTGAACAAGCACCGTCTGCTCTGCGGTCGGAGGTCTGCACTTTCTCAGTCGGAGGCTCTCTACGCTGAACTCGCGGACTCACCCCAAACTCTGATCTTGTAGTCGTCGCCCCCGGTGACAAGCAAAGGTCGGCTGGGGTGGATATCGACACCTCTTACGGGGCCTTCGAGACATTACTCACTGCTCATAGTGGACATACTTCGTAACACTCACCTTCGTGCTCCTCAAATCTATCCACTAACACGCCCATCCGATAGTTCCATAACTGCACGCTGCCATTATGCAAAGAAGCCGCCAGCAATGGTTGCGTAGGGTGGAACGCCAGACCTAAAGACGGATATGAGCGCGGAACGCGTCTTTTAACACGAAGAGACACACGAACCCTTCACTCTGTTGCTCTTCGACTCAAACTTCGTGAGCATAACAGACATTTTGGCAGAGTTCCGGCTGGCCAGTTCAGTTTGTTTTTGTCCGACAGGACGAGAAAGCGTTATGAGGACCAGCCGACGGACAGGGCTACTTGCAGTGTATGGCGCCTACGCCTGCACGACGTGGCTTTAGGCGAAGTCGAGATATTGCCTTTTCCAGCACCATTGGTGGCTGCGAACTTGTCTTCCAACCTCGAACAACTTGGCCCTCAGTTTACGCTGTCTAGAAGGCAATCTAGGTCATAGCGGCCTATAGAAGTTGGGGCACTTTGTCTAAGTTATATTCTTTGAAAGGCGCATGGGAGTTTTGGGCCTAGTGCCGTTCTTACAGAAAATCTGGTATGTGGCCTTTCAATGGCATCTTGTCTAGCAAAAGTCATCCTAGATTAATCCTACGGCAAGCCCGCAAGTTGTACAAACCCTCCCAAATCGACTTAGACATCTTTCCGGGAAGACGATAGTTCTGTAGGTTGGGTTACAACTCTGGGAATGCATTAGGACTAACAGGATCACTAGTGATGGCACCCTCATCACGCAACGCCTACATTTTGCCCCTGCACCTCACCGGTATCGCCATGTCCTTGGGTGGTATCGTCTCGTAAGAGAGCTCCGAAACTCTGAAGTCCGCGCAATATGTGTGTTCGACGGAAAAGAGCGTAGCGGGGCCAAACGCCTTGAGGTCAGTTCAGCCGTGCTCTTCTAGGGGTTATCTCATCTTGTTAATTAATCAGATAGAAAGAAGGAGACATATTCGGAAGATCGATGCAGCTCGTGCTTCCGTTGAGGTTGATAGGTTTCAACGCTTGAAGAAGCTCAAACGTCTGCTGAATGCTTGCCGCGGCCTCGAAGCGGCCCAGAGAGAACAGGCTACTTCTACGTTACGGAGGTTAATAGCCGAAATTCCGGATAGTGCCATTGCATCATCAGTGGTTCCACCATCGCAAGCGGTCTCCAGTGATATCTCGTCTGGATGGCCTCTGCGTAGTCCAGCAACTAGCCAGGAAGGTTCCTTGTATGAATTTCTGGAAGACCGTCACATCGAAGAAGCACTCAATGACCAGGCTTCTGTCACATCCTCTAACGCCCAAGCTGTTCCGAGAAGTCAACAGGCCTCCTTGAATATCGACCTTGACGTGTCGAGTCGCAATTATTCTGATGATCATTTCCACGAAACTGGGATTGAGTCTTTGTCGAAACGATCCATTGCTCAGTTTGATCTTCTCGCCAAGGAAGATCAAGGCTTCGACAATCAACTTATCGAAGACGAGGACGCGGAGGACGCCTGGCTGAAGGATTTTCTTATGCCGGCTGAACAAACAGAACCCAGTATATCTTCTGAGGCGATACCTGACGCTCTGGCTGCATTATACCTTGACTATCGTCGAAGCATACCCACCGTTCAGTCACTGATGTCCATGGCTTCAAATGCTACTGCCGCCCATACTCCTTCTGCCACGACAGATGTCACTGAAGTGAGCTCGGAGTACGCAATGTCTAAGTCCCAACATCAGTTAATGTTGGATGAGGGGAAGGTTTGGCTGGACCTGGCCGATTTCAATCCCGATCCTAGAGAGGAAGGAATGAATGATCAAAACCTCATATCTCTGGCGGAGCGGAGTCAGTTCGTCTCACAGTCGTATGAACGACGATGCAATCCACCAACTGCGGAGACATATAAAGAGTCGCAGTTGATACTCCGAGCTATGGGAGTCCCGTGCGTCGAGTCATCCGGACCTTACGAAGCAGAAGCATTGGCCTCATCTCTGGTTATACATGGTTATGCCGACTACGTTGCTACTGAAGACACGGTACGTACAGTGCCTAGGTATACTATCCTTGCAATAACAAGTCTCTCTTAGGACGTCCTTGTGTACGAGGCACCGATGATCCGCAATATAACCAGTCGGAAGGATCCTCTTGTCCTCCTTTCGGGCTCGGAGATCCGCTCAGTCCTTCACTTGGACAGGTCAAGTTACATCGACTTCGTGCTCTTGCTCGGCACGGACTTCTCTCAGCGAATCAAGAACGTCGGACCGCACCGTGCTCTAAAGTTCATTCGGCAGCATGGTTCAATTGAAGGAGTGATCGAGCACGAGAAGCAGTTTCCTCCTCGCGTCGCTCCTCAGGCGTATCTCCAGCAGGTCCAAGTAGCGCGCTTGGCGTTTACAACTCTGCCTCCCCTTCCGGATCCGGAGGAGTTGCGGCAGAAGGAGTGGGATAATGCGCAGGTTCGCTCTCTCTTAGAGCGATTCGGACTCCTCAGAGCTACTGCCGCGTACTTTCTTGATGATTGGGACTACCAGGAAGCACTCGCAGGTAACTACTTCAACGATAAGCCGAGCTCATTGTAGAAGTTTTCATGTCCGCTATAGCTTCTCGGTCATCAACGCCATTGTATCCATAGCTGCAATATGTATTTTCATAGGGAGTCTGAGATGCGTGTGGCTTGTTTGGCAAACCCTAGCTAGTACGGCGTAGTCCGAGTCCAATAGGACATCAGGCAAGCTATAGCTAGCAGCAGTCCGCCGTGAAACCACCTCCCGAGTCCCCGCTCAACTGCTATTATACCCTCGGTCGACTCTGATATACCCTGTGCTTCTACTAGCTGCATCTACCTTCTGTAACTTATCTGTATGTCATGTCGAATGCTCAACACTGCTCCTTCGTCCTTCTCGCGGAATTCGACATCGACCGGGGAGCGCAACTGACATACCAATTCCCGCAACCCTTGGGGACCGATGAAGGGTCTGTTGCAGTTACTTCTCGATCCCTGGATGTGCCGTCTGACTTAGCTTCCCTCTGCAAACGCGTTGATTCGTGCTTCATGTCTCCGCCAAGTGCAGGCTGCTCGCCAACTTGATGCTCCCAGACGGTGCCGAGAAGCAACTGGAGGACTGGACTATATTCTTTCTCAATCAGACACCATTCAATACAATCGCACCCGTGCTCGCTCTGGAGGCAGATTCAGACGGTGTGGGTAATGGGGATGACCATACTGGGCTCTTGTATGTCTTGAATCTGGTAAGGACCAAGCATGACAAGACAGTACGAAGGTAAGCCGTTTAAGCAGTCGGTACAGCGCGACCTATCACAATATATGGCTCACAGGGGGGCAGTCGTGAAAGCCATGGCTATCTGCACTAGACATCCCTTCATCCAGATTTTCAAGGTAAGTCTCAGCGATGATATCAAGTCTCCGAATCTGAGTGCGATGACATCGACCACCTGGTAGCCCGTATTATTGATGGCCCTTGACGACTACTTCGCTGACCCTTCCCAAGAATGCCTTGCTCGCCTGTTCGACGCTATCAATTCCATGGACATGTCCGGAGCACCGACACTTTCCCGCTACGAAAAGCTCGTTATGCGGACTTCCGAACGCAAAGATATCTTCGCTGAGAAGTTTGTCGCTCAGAAAGCGGAACTAACCCCATCAAGTCATGGCCCCGCTAAAGCTCAACATCGCAAAACTCCTTCCTGGGATTCTCATTCTGACTTCGAAGACAGCTTGGTCACCCGGAGCCGTGAGTCGGTAGACAGAGACCGGTCCATGCAAGATACCACTGTGACCAATGCTCACAGGGAGCAACACAGTCATACGCAAGGGCAGTATTCTCCTACGGATACTTCCTTTGGCAGTGCAGTCTGGGTAGGTGACGAGAGTGGGCTGGATCAAGTATCGCAAAGCATTGGCATGACCACGAGCAACGCAAATTATGCTAGCGGCAGTGGGCGCGGGCGACGTTCAACCGACGCTTCGTCAAATTCGTCTCACGGCTTTGCTTATGGTGTGCAGGCCGCGAGCGCGACAAGTTATTTCCCCGCAGGAGGGATGGTTAAAGATACGCATTTCTTCCAGACGTCGATAGCTTACAAAGGCCACACTCTCCCCATCAAGATGCCCCTCTCCACTTTCCCTGAAGAAGTTGGTGACGTGAGTCGTACGCTTTGGTAACTTGCACTGTGTTGTTCATAACACGACACGTCATGTGCACCCAGTATTCCCTCATCCAACTTATCCAGACCTTCTCGAGCCCCATAGCGACTGTAACTGGACCTTTGCATCCGCACCTTCATAATAACGGCAGTCTTACGCATCCCATCATCGTACTCTTCAACGCCCTTATTACAGGCAAGCGAATAATTTTCCTAGGACATAACCGACCTGCTGGGCAGGTCTCGAGTTATGTCCTATCTGCCTGCGCCCTGGGCTCCGGTTCTGGGTGTGTCTTGCGAGGGTTCATAGAGCGAGCATTCCCATATGCAAATCTTACCAACAAAGAGGAATGGGAGTCCATGTGAGTTCGGTCTTTCTTGTACTATGATAACTCTTCATTGCTGGCCTGACTTTGTCTAGTCCAGGATACATAGCCGGGGTCACGAACCCAATCTTCGAACACGGCAACTCTTGGGATCTATTGTGCGACGTCGGTACCGGTCGGATGGTCGTAAATAAAGATATCCATATTAGCTGCCCTGTGAACACTCAAAGCTCCTTGAGTCCTCCATTAATTATGCGCACCGGCACCCTGAAAGCAGAGTCCTCCATTGGGAGCGAGGAGGATATCGCGCGATCAGGGAAAGAAGCCAAGGATGGTCAGAAAAGCGAAATCGTTGCCAAGGCTGACAGCTCCGATAATCTCTTCATTGAGGATGTGGGTACAGTCGTCAACTCGTCGCTGCTTGGATGCTGATATACCGACTTAAACCTGGTCTGAATCTAGATTATCTCTGCGATATCGTATCACTTCGGAGAAGGACTCGTCCGGGCCAGGTTTATGGAATATGTCAGCCGCTTCGTTCGTCTCGCCGCTCGATACGAAGAGGAGGTTCTAGGACCGACTAAGATAGGGTACCCGAACATACCTTTTCGAGACGGCCACCTAGGCAGTGGCATATCTTTCAGTGATGATGCGGCAGCTATGCGCGAGTTGGCATCGAATGCCAATCGCATCGAGGGATGGAGGAGAACCAATAGTTATCACTATTTCCAGCAGGTCAGAAGTGGTCTCTTTCGGGCTTCTGTCTTCATGCTGAGTTTTCCACAGGACTTCGATAGATCGCTGTCAACTGACCCCATACAAGGATTCGATGTTCTCCATCAAATCTGGCGGTTCCGTCTCGCAAAAAACATGTCAGATTCTGAGGTGGACTTGATCATGCGTACATTAGTGGAAAATGTGCGGACGTATGACCAGGTTGTAGAGGTACTTCAGATAGGCTTGCGTATGGCCACTGTATGATCGCTCACTTCCTCTCAGCTGCTCTCTTTTCTCCCTCCACATCACGGGGGATTATTACCTCTGAGCTTTGGTCTCTTCCACCAACAAGAGATAATACGAGAACTGACCGTAGAGCTGTTCAATCAGCTGCGCGCACACCCGGTGAGTGGTCACAAGGCCGTTTCTTGCTGGATGAGCGCATCCTAAGTTATACCGGTGATCTAGGTTGGGTATCAGTTCTTGCAGGCCCTCAATCACTTCCACCGATACGCTTACGTTCGATTAGCCCATGCCAAGGACTCACGTCAACAACAAAGGGAACAGAATTCATTGTATCCACCAGTCTCCCTTTTCAACTCACGCACGCCCTCGAATCGCAGCGAGTCCAGCCTAGGGGGATAACATATGTCGTAAGGACGTTCCAGGGTAGTATGTCTGCATGTATATTTTCGAATGCGTGTAATGCTTGGATCTAAAATCTGGGTAATACATCATTGTACGCGCTCTCACCTTATACAATATCTACTTCCTAACGTCACGGCTGAAAATCTACAATACAGAGACTGTCTAGAGATTCAGAAATGCTACGTGGACAATTGATGTCCAACTTTTACCTAAAAGGCGAAGGAGAGGCCACATGCGATCTCGACAGAAGGATTCATATGGATACAGCAGGATGGAGATGTGACATGTAGGCCTCACCCAGTACAGTGATGCCCCAGAAGATATGCAAGCTTGTGCGGCCGCAGCGAGTTGGCGCACGCCAGCTGGCAGAGTCCTGACATATGATGCATGGATCGAAGGGGGAGCATTAAGGCGAAACAGCTCTCCTAAGCGAAACACGGCAATTCTTCGGTTGGTTTCCTTCTGAAGAACCTGGTAATCCTGACACGAAAGGCCGAAACAGGGCAAGCCACTGATCCTTCGAGATAAGCCCTCGCGACTTGCGCAATACAACACACGATGCCCAAGATAACAGCGACGGCAGCCCCGCTGTCAAGATGGATAACGAGCATAGTGTATTGAACTGTGAAGAGCACGAGAGACCAGGCAAACAGTGCCTTGGGTAGACTGTACATCGTTCCGATAAGGTCGAAGCCCCAGCGCTCGGACTGCACATTGTCGAGGTACACCGCCTGGAGTGCAAATGTTAGAGAGACAAAGGCATGAATAGGAGAAGTAACTAACTGCTTCGGCAGAGACAGCTTCAGGTTGATCTTGGTGGTAGAATGAGAGCGCTAGACTGGAGAGTATGCTCCCGACACAGAGGAGAACAGACAGAGAACCCAGAGGGAGGCGGGAAGAGGTATTCATCATTGACAACATATCGGTGATCAAGAACGCAAGGGCCTGGAAATTCATTCAGTCGCGGATGATAAGCAAGAGCAAGAACAGCGTACCCAGGTGGTGGTCGTCTTCCAATCATCTAGGTTCTTGGACATAAATGCGCGCCAGTGATTTGTGTATACTAGATTATCGGCGTATATGTTATCGAGTTTGGAGATATATGCTTCAGGAAGTCTCCAGAGAGCCAGAGACAGTGCCCTGGTTAGGGCGCGGCGGGGTCGCGAAGCCGCAAATGCGCTCTGCTCCCTGGAGAATTTCGGTTGCTCCTCTCCGTAGTGTGTTTGAAACCTATACCCCGAAATTACACTCCACAAACGCGCTGTTCCAAGTAGATCAGTTACCAGCCTAAGGCTGCACGTGATTTAGGGCTCACCGGCTGTGAAAATGATATTGCCGTCTCTAATGACTTGAGTACCTACAATGGTATACGTCAGCTCCTTGAACTGATATTCTCTGCCAGCGACAGACCATTTGAGACTCTGAGTAACTTAATGAACTTTCTACATTCATCCGGACAATACGGGAAGGGCGAACAGTTGGAAGTCAACTGGTCTGCAGAACCGTCAATAACAGGCATCTACCACGATTTCCAGGGTAACTTGCCGATGCTGCCTTGCACAAAAATGGATATCAAATCATCCACAATTGAACGCGGGATGCCACCCAAGTGCATCGGGAAGTGCTCGACATGAGTCCAATAGTGCTCCTCCAGAACGTATCCTGGAGTAGATGTTAGTTCCACGCGCGGCTGGTCTGCAGAAGCTAAGACGCACTCAAATGTGCGGGGCAGTCGGCTGCCGGCAAGTCCAGTGCCTCTGTGGACAATTCTTCGAGCCAGAATTCCGTCCGAGTTCTGTGGTCCACCAAGTAATAGGAGCATCCCTCGTGCGAAAGCTCTAGATAAAGCTCCACGGAATCTACAGTTTGAATTTCGCGTTCTTTCATGAGTTCTCCGAAGTACATCGCCCATTTGCATATTTTATCCCGGACCTCTGGTATGTTGAGACGCTCTTCCGTCACGACGCGGAATGGCACCGTGCTAGCATAGTAGGTCTGTCCTTCAGGATTTACGTAGGATAACCACCCAATTGGCAGATAATCCGGGCTGAAAACAAAGGGTTAGTGAGTGCAGAATGGATATTAGAGTGACGTACACCAAAGAATTGTATCCAGCAGACATCGTGTGGTGGGTGGACCGTACCCTACAGCATGGCTCAGCCTCCCATTGGGAATGATCCGCATAAAGACTCACAATGTGCGGCAACTGTACCTCACAGTTGAGACCGCGGTGATAGCGCGAACTCGCTGAGTATCGCTCGTGCCATTAGTGAGCACCGTATGATGAGAGTCTTCGTATTTCGATCCCATTGCGTACAGACCAAGTGTACACCCGGGGATGTCTATGTCTTGTACAACTGAGAAGGTCAGACACCTTTATAGTTCTCGGTATAGCCTTCAAATAAGACCTGTCCGGTACAGCCTGTGCCCAGCACTGGACCGGGGTTGGGGGTCCGGGGCGATGCGCACCATTCACTGGTGTACAATGGTGGAAAAAGGTGCTCCAATGGAAAGCACTGGTCCGAGAACCCATCATCCGAGTCTCGACGTTTCCGGTAGCACCTACTTAGTCTTCGCAAGACGCTGCTCTCCCCAGAGGACCTGAGATGCGACTAGAAGTGCGAGCTCTCGCCAGTTGGTCGCCAGTGCCTCAGCGCGTCCGCCGCCACCAACACGTGGACTTCCGTGAGGCTGTTGCCGCATATAGTCTCCTTCCGAGCTCTGTTGCGTTGAAGTAATTTGCCACAAATGAATGGAGAACTGCCTCAGGCCGCTCGATTACCACTTTGGAGACATAGCTGGGGCTACCCTGGGCCACCCCATTATGCTGGGAGTTTACAAGTCGATGACTTAACGCCCGATATCGACAGGCGCCCGCGATATGGCATCTCTAGCGCCCGCCCATCGCGGGCGCTAAGGGAAATCCGCTGACAGAAGTAAGTTTTCGACGATAATTGGATAGTGCAAGCTTCGTTCACAACAGCACAGTAACTGGCATGGAGACCTCTGACGAACATGCGCGCCAACCTCAACAGGACACAGCGCCCGAAGTGAAGTATGTTACAAGCGTAATCTCCTGGTCGGGAGGTTAATCAAGCGATAGCGCCGGTTCGGGGATTTACCCTTCCGCCTCTGAGCTAGGTATCAGTCATCATGAAATACTTGAGGAGGAGCTTGAGTCGGCCAGCTACTCTCCGTACGTCAGGACGTTCATGTTCACCTGCGTCTTGGCTTAAATGGCTGTGGTCGCGCAGCAAACCCCAGGGCGCGAGAACACTAGGGCCTGAGGCACCCGGCGCTATCGCGTCCATACCGTGAGTGAACATCGGCCGTGCTGTACGTGCTGAAGGCAGCTCGGATCTCTTATAGTCCTGTCCCCACGCCGCCCGCAGCTCCTGCGGGTCAGTCATCATCCTCGGAATTCAGGCCTCGAGCACCACCGAAAAAGCCGGTGTCCAGTGGCCGTCCTGCTAAACCCAAATGAGGATGGACTATGTACCCTGCTTCCTGAGTGTAGCATACACCGTCTAGCCTCCGGAAATGGAGCACTATGGCGTTATCAGCATACGAGCGGTAATATTTGTTCCACTGCATCTTTGTTCCTACCTTTGAAGGTGTGATATCTCTCACACCTGCACGCAGCCAAGGAAGTGCGATGTCACTGCCGAAAATGTCATTCCAAACCCGCGTCAGGCGGGAGCTGACAGCATTCTCAGAAACTCGGCGGCTAGAAAAAAAAACGGAGCATTTTCCAGGTCCACTATCATCGCTGTCTGTGGAAGCGGTGAAGCGATATATCAGCTCTAAGCACAATATTGTGGTACCCTGCCAACACCCAACTGTGCCCTTAGGAATTCGTATTCCGAATTGATCAGGTGAATGACAACCCACATAACCGTGCTGCTGTAGCGCCGAACCGCAAGGTCTGCATATCAGAGTGTTCAGCGAACCTGACGAGTACAGAGTGACGTGAGTCATCCATGAATTCTATGAGTCAAAAAGCTGAGAACTGACATCAGTGCTTGAATGGAGGGAGTGACATTCTTGAGTTCAAGCTCTGGCGCTCGCGTCCTTAGAACTTGAGATATATTGTTCTCGGAACCTCGTACGACTGCTACCTGGAGTCTGTGGGGTCGACAGTAAGCGTCTACAATAGTCTGGAGTAGTCTGGAGCCTTCGACCGGAACTCGAGTCCCTTCGAGACGCTGTGGCATGTTCGATTGTCAGAAATCACGGATCCGAGATTCTTGTGTCTTCTATCGCTGCTGCCAAAAGGTCTGTATGCGGGACTACAGCAACCGTGATTTGCCACATTCTGGACGGTCCTTCGACGTACTACATTGGTAACGCTCATCTCGACCTGCCTTGCCCTAACATTGCATACCTATCCACAGCCCGAAACCCTCCTTCTTCAAGCATGGACAGGGGGTGGGTCGCACCGCCCATCCGTCGCAGACTAGTACCGACAAACGAAAAGTTGGCCGCATAAGGAGGATCGTGAACCAATACGTGTCATCGCCCCGCGCATTGGTCATGAAGGTTGTCCATGTCTCGAGATCACGACCCTGGCGATGATCCAGGGCCTCCATTGATATGGACGCACTCTTCCAAAAGAATCGTCACTTCTGGGTGCTGAGATCACAGCCTATTGCTACAAGCCGTAGTTAAGTGAAGCTACTCTACACGAGTCGGGGGATGATAGTATTCACGGAAGGTATATATAGTCTTCTGGATTCCAATCTAGCCAGCATGAGCACTTTCTAATATGAAGCCACAGCCACAGTTCCGGCCGCATAGCCGCGCCCCGTCTGACAGTGGTACTAGTACTGTCAGAGTTCCGAGTCAATCATAATCATAGCATAGAGCACTGCAATGCGATGTATACTTAAAGTACGTTCTCTGGTTGCGAGGGATTCACACAACAATGCCCATATCACTCACAATGGCGCGACAAGATAGCAGTCGAAATGCCAAGAACTGGTCGTGCCCTTGCTACATAATTGCAGGAGACGCCGAGGGGTGTCTGAATTACGAAGGGGGCCATCTTCTACCGACCGATGCTGGAAGTGGGTGCTTGTCGGATACCATTGCCTGCATAACATTGAAGTAAGCAGCGATTGCTTCAAAGTGTAAAGGTTTATTTAAGTGACTTGGAACATCTAGCAGAACGGGCGAAGATTCTGCTAACATCCGAAGCCCACATCCTGGGCTTGACGAATCTACATGCAATGAGGCCCCCACACATCCCGGCCTTCAGCAAGAGACGCACGGTGCGCTTCTGACTAGGTACGCATTACACGTTCCGAGGAGTACTTTCAATGAACTGAGCGTCACATGGCTAGCCAACCTTCCGCACCCACCGAGCCTCTGTGGGTAATCTCATTGAATCAGGGATTCTGCCGACGTCTGATTGGTTTATGGCACAGCAGAGTCGTACCACGCGTCCCATCGAGTCCTAGCGGCAGACCTAGGTATAGGCCGCGAGCACCCATACGCAAGCCTACCAACGGTGTTAAAAGGCCCCCGACAAAGCCAAAGTGAACGCGCCTCACATAAAGCCCCAAAATGCATGAAACGATCTGTACCCGCCAAGCAGCATTAATTTATTTCATTCTCAAACACTCTGCATACCCTTTTTCATCAGATCCAAACTCTTGGGGGGATACCGCACTGACTTGATAAATGCTTAGTATCATACGCACGATGAATTCCATGTATCGTACCACACCCTTCGAGCGCGATAAGCCAATGATATGTTCCCTGAGCTCACCAAGGACCGGGTTAAAGGAGCAGCCGACACGTTAACCATTGACAGTAGCTAAGGTCGAATTCAGCTGTGATTGTGGGCAAATAGCCTCGACGACATAATTAATACTGAAGGCCGATTGGTCGACTGGAATAACCAAGTTAACGATCGTGCATCATCATGTCTAACTATCCCCAGCGTAGGCGAAATTCGGCGGTAGGTCGGCGGCTTGTAATGAACGACGTCGCGAGAACGATGTAGCTTCCGGCCTTCTTATGCCTGCTCCCAGCCTGTTCTGAAAGCTCAAGTTCCGCGCGGCGCTGAGACGCATTAGATCCCTTGGGAATGACCAAAGACATTGGACGACGGTAGCGCCTGAGGACAGTGGAGCTTATAATAGACCACGCACCAGGACAGCAAAAGTGGAAGACACTTCCCTACTTCTATGCCCGTCTGTAAGCTCAGCTGCTCAGAACCTTTGATCTCCGCAGGAATAACTGCACAGCAGTGCAGCTGTACACTTAGTTCTATGCACTGCTGCACTGCTGTATTGCTGTAGAGCCTTCTGCAAAGCTCGTTTGTATAAGTACCTTAGCAGATGGCGCTATCCTTTACAACCCAACCATGTCTGAAACCTTAGTGCTTCCCTACGAAGTCCCTGTCTCTGGCATAACACCGACGGCCAAGGGAATCGAAGGAGGAGGCGCAGCTTGCTACGATAGCGATGTCCTTGAGCTTCCAAACTCCCCACTTGCCGCAGCCAAGGATCAGGAGGAAACTAATGAGGCAGGGGCCGTTCGTATTAAAACAGGTCAGCCGGCCTGCGATGGTGCGGACGTCCTCAGCCACAGCAGTGAGGCTTTGCGAGCCGCATCGGTCCTTGCTGTCCTAGCGGGAAATCTGCGTGACAACACAGAGGATAAGAGAGTGGGCCATCAGTCCCCTGGCGTGGTCGATAAACCAGGAGCTTCAACGTAAGTCGCGTTTGACGTGTACTGGAGTCACTCCAGGCTGACAGAGGCGTGGCAGTACCTACAAGCAATCAAGGGAGAGTCTCGATGATCTCTCACAAGAGAACTTACCGCAGAGGAACGTTACACCCCCTCTTTCGGGCATACAACATTCTCCTACACCTACGTACGTCGCCTTGTCGGCTGGGAATTGGATCAGCAGACATTAATGATGCCCGACAGAACCACTATCGTACCTATCAAATATACTCAGTAAGACAATCATTGGCTATGGATGAAGTTTATCTCAGCTTACAGATCTTGGCACAGATCTGGCGCTCCAGCACAGCCCGGCGTTGTACCACTATACAGACCAAGAGGACCTGTCAGGCCGCCCGTTGCAGCTGGCCACGGTGTGAAGAAACCGAAGCCCAATCCGACGTAAGCATAGGGAGAAGAGTACGGTAGATTACTTACCGCAGCACATGGAGCATCGTCAGCAGCCGGGAATTTGGTCTATGTCATCCATGTTCAAGTTGTTTATCGGAGTGTGCATTTTTTGTTTCGTTGCTTACGTCGATCTTCTGGTCGTGTTTGCGTCCACGAAGAGAATGAGTACCGACAATATCCACCAGATTATGTCCCAGCACTCTGGCATTGCGGGGACTGGTATCGCGATACTCTGAGCACAGTCCAGATCCGAAGGGATATACCCAAGAGCCTAGAGGTTGTCGCGAACAGCCCACACCCCACAACTCGTAATTTCATAGCTCACCAATGAGTGCGAGGACAACGTACCCGTCCTGATCCTGACCTCTGGATAATCACTGGTAGGAGCAGCGTAGTTGAACATACACGTTCAAACACCGAGTCGCCAGATTGAAGATTGATTGGTCTATAGGAAATGTCTCGATGGAAGATCCACAAGTCTTCGACACTCTACTGTCAGCCTCTTGATTGACACGCAGGCTCAGTGATACGCAGCATTCGTAAGTTTCGACGGTCAAACTTCCAGGCGATTATTATTCCGTAGCCACGAACAACGGATTCAATGCTAAAGGGCGAATAGTCACCCTGATTGCTGTTTAGGCGTGTCTGATGTGCTGGTGTACCCTACTTTTAATAAACGTCAGCGTGAGTCGGCGACTCGCAAGAGTGATGGCACCGGTACGACGTACGGTCTGATCTTCTTGCTATTTCCATCCCTGTAAGCTCCTTCGCGGGGCGATGAGACGCACTCTCTCGGACAGGAACGATCGAAGGCATATATGACAGGCAAGTTCCATCGGTAGTACCCAAGGGCCATGAGGTATATATAATGGACCGCGCTCCAGGGCGAAACCAACGAAAGGCGATGCCCACCATGCAAGAGCTCAGTAACTCGGAGGCTTCGATCTGCATAGAATTGCTGTTCTGCAGTGTAGCTGCACTAGAAGCTGTGGACGTACAGCTGCACTGCGCGTGTGCATAAAAGCATAGTTCAGAGCACTACTGTCGACAAAGCCTCTCAGCTGCGATGTCGCCTTCCTACACTGAAGCCACCGCAGTCCAAGCGGGCCGCAACGATGTCCAAGCTGTCGATCAGCCTGGTGGGGTTGCCGACGCTCGGGTTGCGACGGACGAGAGCAAGGCAGACACGGAGGCTCGTCCTGCGACGCAGTTGTCCCTTCCGAATACCAGCTCGCCTAACCGTAGCGGCGAGGTTCTGCAGCCCACTTCTGCCCCTCCTGCCGTAGCCACGCTCCATAACAAGGCAGGCAAGAGCATCCCAGATAGCGTGCCTTTGACGAGCGGCGGTGATCCCCAGACCGATGGGTAGGTCACCCTGCCCGGTCGTCGACTTGTCCCTGGGCTGATGAGCTTGTCGCAGTACCTGGAAGCCGTCAGCAGAGACTCAAGAGAATATCTCCCGCGAAGACTTACGAACGGACAGCAGCGGGGTGTTGATTGGGGCATCCGCTGGCAGTGCTTCAGCCTTATCAATCCCTATGTAAGTTGCAAGGATCTTGCGCGACAACTGGCCTTAACGTACTTGATGTTGGACAGTCCTGCTCAGGAACAGCCTTCCTTCTTCGGAGGGCCGTACAGACCGAGGGGCCCTTTATCTCCCCCTGTGAAGGGAGGGCAGCCCAAACCTGCGGACACCAAGTCGAAGCCCAAACCAGCGGACACCAAGTCGAAGCCCAAACCTGCGGACACCAAGTCGAAGCCTGAATAACGGAGCAACAATAGTACCGCGGCTGACTTGACAATTCGCAGCGTCAGGCATTGCCAATTGTTGGTAGATATACAGCATCCAGGATCCCGTTTTCATGTTGTTTCGTTTGTTTGTTCGTCTTCCCCATGCGCTTTATCAGGGAACAGTAATACCAGTATGACCTTGATCAGCATACTGCATTGACGGGTGTGGCGTCACGATCAGCGCTCATACGTTGTAAAGACTCGATGAGACGTCCTCCAGAGCGCATACAATAGCATTAGCGAGTAGACAGGGTCGAGGCTTGATATCGCGAGTGTAAAGGCAGCGGTATGGACCATCTTCATCCAAGCTGAGGCCAATGTATACCTGAAGCATGCAAGTACTGTGGGAAAGCGTCATCATGAGAAAAGCATGCAACAGATGGTTCGAAGCCGCGGGTCAGTCTCAGACGGGCGGTGGTAAGCGCCCGACAAAGACAGCCAAGGAGCCGAGCAACTACGTACAGTATTTCATTCGAGGCTGAATGTCTGTACATTAATATTATGGTCTTCTAAAAGGCGCCGGTCGACCGTTCTGTGGCAAATATTCCCTGGAACCGTTATAGATGGCCCTCAAAGCGCTGGATGACAAATGGGTCGGCGTTGGATAACATCAGTATGGCTCCATCCGAGTGGCAGGCGCGGTATCTGATACCCATGATATTTCAGGTTACATTCGACTGGGCGCCAGCTGTGGAGCTTAAAGACCGCGGTGCTTTCCATTGCTCACTGGCATAGCCAAGCCTTATACGAAGACTAGCTGTAATCGGAGAATGCAGGCGAGCGGACAGAACAACCTCATTTCGCCGGGGCAGGGTCAGAAGAGGTGTGTCTTCTGGACTCACATCGATGCTGGGATGCCTGGGATGGGAGATCCAAGGATGGAATACTCATTTGGATGAAATAGCGCAAGTCCGGATGCGGAGGAGGCTCTGCACGATAAGTCGCATCTTGCACCTGAGTAAGTCCTAGCTGCCGAATCACTGCGAGATATCACGCTTCCTGATCGTCTGCCATCTTATCAGGCCAGCAAAAGCTGCGGACGCCCCCCGTTCGCCGACCAGTTCTCCCAAAGTTGGGTCTCATGAGCTGCCAACGTGAGTAGACCCCGTGTGACATACCAGCTATCTCGTACTGAAGTCTCTGCATAATCAGCGGAACATCAGAGCATGACGCGGCCAATGCACCTCCCAAACCGATGTACAGGCCAAGAGCACCCATTAAGAAGCCCATTACGTCCGGGAAACCCAAGGGTGCCTGACCTGGAGACAGAGCCTCTACCGCGCAAGATGTTACCGCGTATGAATGTACGATAGTTGGAATCTTGGACATCAATTCTTCGATCCGAATGCCACAGTTGCTAATTCAGTCGTCTTTATAAAGTGTGCGGCTCCCAGTCGGTATTTTATCCTAAACCCTTCGCTATAAGCGTTTCTTCTCGGGCGATTTTGCGACTGAGAGGACGCCGCGCCTAGCTCTCAGAGATGCTATGTGGGAATGTCAGGAAGCTCGAGAATGGGCTCGTGAGTCCTGAGCGCAACACGATGGATACCTTCTACAAGGGACAAATACCCTTATTGCTACACCCAGCAATATGAGAATGACTGGCATCGGTGTTATACTGTGCGAATAATATATAAATACTACCAGCACCACTCACGACTTGACTGATACAAATACTCAGCAATACATCGAGCGTAAGATGACAGATCATAGGGTATGTGAATAGGCAGGCAAAGGCCCGCGATGCGTCTACTGTTTGATGGAGCCACCGAAGAAATCTATGGCAATTGCCGTTCTTTCGTTAACGACAAGCAGGGCAATATAGGCACATAACTTACAGTATTTTGATGTGTATTTCACCGAGTGTACAGTAGTGTCACTGGGGGAGCACTGGGGGACAGGATAGATCATGATATGTCTGGACAGACCGTCCTAACATAAGACTCACCGATCCGGGCAACTGACCACCGACAGTATTCACGCGGTAAACGCTCGTCGCCAGATTGCCCTGGACGACTTTCAGCTGGAGCCAGTCGACATTCGCCGCCCCATCGGGCGACGCGAGGTTGCCGGTCCTCGCGCCGATGGCGAAGGCGTTAGGATTGCCGGCGTACGCGGCTGAGGTGAAGTCCCACTTGGGGGACGTGCCCGAGCCGGTGATCGGGTTGGGCACGAAATAGTGCTGGCCGAGGACGACTTTGACGGGCATGTTGCTTAGCATGGCGATGACCTCCTGAGCGGTCAGAGACGCGGGGGCATGCTCCCAAGCAGTGTAGGCCGTATTTTGGATAGAAGCGAAGGCGGGCATGTTATACAGGCATGAGATGTCGAATACCTCTGCCACAGCTCCGATATTACTGCAAGATAGGGTCAGCTATGTGGTCAGAGGGCGGCCGTTTGTCGTAATACATACGTGTAAGTACCCGCAGATGAGCAGGTGTAGTTTTGTACGCCGACGCCAAGGGCAATGAAAGACGGAGCCCCGGTAGCTGGGGTCAACTGGCTCTGGTTCGAAGGGAGGGGTAAGGTCGCCGAAGAAATATCGCAGGCAGCGTATTGACCAGGTGCAGCGAATACGCCCGATGTAACGGCCAAGACGGTCAAAGCGAACTTGAGAAGCGTCATCATTTAGGCAGGCAGTTGGAAGGAGTGAAATGAAAGTGAATGTGAGGAACAAGCAGCAAACAAAGGGGAAGGTAAGTGAGTCCTTACTCAGAGAGCAAGGTCCTCGTATTTAACATGCTGGGCTCAGGGCGGTAGCGCACAAAGACTTTTTGATGGCATCCCGCTGCAAGAAAAGAGGGATTATTAGAGTGATAGACGAGCCCGAGAGGTCCACTACCGGTTAGCTCGTGATGGAGTGAGGGCGATCACTCCGTTAAGCTTTGAAATGATGTACGCACCTCCGGGGGCTTTCTCAATCACCATAACGATGCGAGAGACCATACCCTCCACAGCCTTAGTGCAGGGAGGGCAAACGTCATCCTGGCAGAGTAAGCGGCATATGAATTTCTGTGGTTCGGGATATCTATCCAGAGCTATGGGCGTTTGTGGGTAACGGCACGAGCTCCTTTGACAGCCTTTAATTTTGATCTCGTAACTTAAACATGCATCGGTGTCATGTCACCGCACCAGCACATGCGAGGTCAAGAGGACGAACGGCCGATTGCCTAACGCGAGGCCAATATACGAGCAAGCACGTACTAGTACATATATGGTCTGTTGCTCAATAGGTTCGTGATCGCGGCGGTTGTGGCAGTGGTCCTGATGCAGGCACGCTTCATCTCAAACTGTAGCGCGGCCGATCTTACATACCAGATTCCATATTAATATTCATCCTCCGGCACTTGCTCTCCTCCAGCTCGTGTGATGTTGGAAGGATGCCAATCCTAAGGACTCGAAGTTCGAAGGTCAGTTGTACAAGAAGTACTAGGACGGGCCGTACCTTCCTAGAGTAAATCTCAGGCTCAGAGTAGTGAGCCTGAGCCCGATGATCACATCCCGATCAATATTTTGTATGTTGCCCGCTGTGGACGGTCCTGATCCAGGCACCCGGAGTCAGTCTACGCATTTCTACCACCTCGGTCTCCACTGCACAACGAAATGAGATGAACCAGACACTTCCTCCCTGTTTAACGTGTTATCCAACGTCGACCACTGCCTACAGTCTGAGTACTAGTGCTCAGAATCGTCCCGACTAATGCACGGACGCCCTTATAATTACATTCACGGCATTGCGACGTAGGTGAGCTGAAAGTTTGCATCAGTATTGATTTGGGAGACAAAACATCGCTGAATGATCAGGAATGCGTGGAAGGTCGTGGCTCTTCCCTGGCTGCACCAAAACTTGTGCTCATTGGAGCGTCCCTACCTATAGACAGGATTGTTCGCCCATCTACTGGATATTGAGGAGACGCCGTTTACAAGTCTACAGCGTCCCGAGGTTTCCCCGGACTATTGGCCATTCTACGTGCCAGGTGAGAAAACAATCGGACCACTAGGCCGAGTGCCACATATTATCACACCTGCGAGCAGTGCCCTTTGCTATAGCGTCGTACGACCCGTCTTAAAGGAAGTCCTACAATAACTCGAATTTGATGGACAGCAGAAGCCCGAGTAACAGGGTAGCGGTATCTCCTAGAAGATATTCGTTAGTCTCACAGAACCGCCGGTACTGTAGTGCATTCTCCAGATCACTGGGTTTCATTCATGATCAACGAAGTGAGCACAGGAATGCAATAGTGTCCAAGATTAGTGTTCTGGAAGTACAGTCTTTAAAGCTACATCCGTCCATGTTAAGAACATCCGTCCGTATGCGAACCTGTTTTCCCACTAATGCACCGACGACCCATAGAACCCTACGTAACGAAGAAGCGGTTACGTTCAACATCAGCGAATCCAGAGAAAGACGTGATCAGCTTCGACTCACAATACTGCGACGTATACCTGACAGATAGAAGCGGCGAACCGGGGGCGCACTAATTTAGCACCGTTGAACATCAGCAAAAATAGCGCATTCTCTCAAAATTTCAGCAACGCACCGACGCAGGCGGTTGCCCGCCCCTTGTCTGGGTGCGGTACACGACAGTCGCCAAATCCCCCTGAACGACGTTCAGCTGCACCCAATCGATGTCCGCCGGCCCCGTCGGCGCGGGCAGGTCGCCCACGCGCGCGCCGATCGCGTACGCGTCGGAGTGGCCCTTCAGACGCGCGGAGGTGAAGTCCCATTTGGGGCTGACGCCTGATCCGGCGGGGTTGGGCACGTAGTAGTGCTGGCCGAGCACGACCGGATCCCCCGAGAAGGCGGATATCAGCTCGAGCGGGATGACAGACGCGGGCGTGATGTTCCATGCCGCGAAAGTGATGTTGGGGATGGTGTTGAAGAGTGGGGTGTTGTAGAGGCAGGAGATGTCAAAGAGGTCTGCGACGGCGCCGACGTTACTTGTGGTGGCATGAACAACTTCAGTGCCATTCGATATGGAGTCAGAAGCAGAGACCTACATCCAGGTCGAGGTATTCGAGCAGGTGTAATTCTGCACACCGACACCGAGAGCGACATAGCTCAAGGTCGCATTCGGTGGCGTGAGGTGCGTCTGATTCGCGGGCAGAGTCAACACAATGTCGGAAACATTGCAGCTGAGAGGTGGGGCAGCCTGCGAAACAGCAACGGACGCGGCAGCGACGCCATACACCATGGGGATGACCTTCATTGTGGCGAGTGAGGGCAGGAGAGAGCTCGAACACGTCGACAGTATGTCGCAACAAGGGTGCGCCTTTTATATCCAGATCCTTGGTTGAAATGAGTGGTGAATGGCTGGGAGGCCAAAAATAGCGTCGAACGAGATGAGAATTATCGAACCTGTCGGAGGTCGCCACTGATAAATTCGGGAACGAAGGACGCTAGCGGTGATGGCGGATATGCGCGCCGGAAATAGAGCATCGCGTTGCACGATACCGAGCGGGCAGACCCTAGCAGATGACCGGGTCCGCCAGGATGGCCGGGGTGATGCATAGTAAAACACCAGCAGGTTACATGCTGGAGCACAGGAGAGCAACCTAACGGGAAGGCTGTGTTCGATCCCCATTCTGCGACAAGCCGGGATATGTCGCAATACGCCTCGTTCAATTGCATGAAAACCCTAGACACGGAGAAACCATGTCGGACAGTCAAGGCACCCATTAGATAGAGGACAGTATGATATTCCGCCAAGACTGTCGACGCCCACTGTATCGCCGCATTCAGGTCTTTCAGGAAGCCGACGCAGTACGCAAAGGCGTATTCACTCGAATGTTGTCGCCCTGAAGCTGGGTTCGTCCCGGTCATCCTCATGACTGAGATTGCGGGTAGATGAATGGGATCCAATTCGAGAGACTCTTGGCGGCATGGTCGCAGAAGCCAGAGGGAGCTGAAGCTGAAGGTTATAGATTGCAGTTGATGCTCGGGAGGTCCTAAGTTCCGCTGGCATTCCTCTGACCTGCAGTCATGTCAGGAGATTCATAGGACCCGCAGCCGACCTACACGGGTTGCTGACAGTCTTCGCACCAGTGCACTAGTAGCCGTACCGTATCCAGGGTTAGATTTCGATCCTACCATGCGTTCCTCCTGTGAAGTTCACTACAGTCGTTTGCATATGAAACCGAAAATCGGGTTTCCATGAGCATTGTTTGTTCGAGCCAAATATACCCATATGCAGTAATGCGAGATGGCTTCTTGTGACTGTGTGACTCTGTAGACTGCAGCCCGCCCTCAGGCTGACAAACTGCATGTGCTGTGTAGTCTGTTGTAGACTCGATCTCGTAGCTCATCAAGGTAGATAGCAGGCTCTCCCTCAATAACTGATCGCACGAAGTTCATATCCTGCATGTCCAGAGTGCGCGGCCGGCCTCGAGGTCTAGCATTCGGGTTGATGACTGTGCCGTATTCCGTGTAGAGTCGGAGAACTTCGAAGACTGTGCTTATGCTGCATCCCGCAAGCTCAGAAATC